TGAGATCAGTATCGGCCCCTTTGTGTGAGGAGGGACAAAAGGAGTGCTGCCAGAGCCCTGCAAAATTACCTCCAGTGGGCTAATCATGTGCATGTTTTGTTACCAAACCTAAACACACAAACTGTGACGGTGGCATTAAGGTCCTTTAGTGGGACCTGTGCTCACAACCGAACACCATGCAGATTAACTGGCATTCGCCTGAGAACACCAGAACTGGCAGGTCCTCCCACCAGCGTCCCGTTTTCCTCACAGATGATGTTGCAGGCAATGAAACGTTCACCATGGTTACTCCAAACTCTTTCAGGACTGACTTTTGCACATGGCTATTATGTGATGGATGAGAAATTAAAAATTCAAAGTGCCTACAACCTTTACACTGTAACGTGTGGTGTATTATAAAGTGTGTTTACATTATACTTGGAATACAGAAACACATTTGTCTAGACTTAAACTAGTGAACAGATACTGATAGTGAAGTAATAAACAGTATACAATGATTTCTACATTAAAACCATTTAACTGTTCATCTTAGTTTTCTCTTTGTATGTTTGCCTGATGCCTCATCTGTTTTACTTTTGCACTGTGGTACTCTTCCTCTGATGCATATCGGCCAAAAGTATTTAAAAAAAATCCAAGTTGTTACAAATAATATTAATAAGCCTTTATTTATAATGATTTACTTTTCTCTGTGCTGTTTATGTGAGACATTAACTTCCACCTTAAAGTTTTCAGTGTTTTCTCCACTCAGGTGCTCATCTCCAGGATGTTCTTCTACAAAGTGTTGGCCTGTCCTCTGCCAGTTTGTCAAAGCCAGTTGCTGACTGCTTATCTGCTTTAGTAGACAATGCTATGGTGCTTGGAGTGAGAGACACTTCACTGGGCAGGTCTGTTTTGTTTTTTTTCTTCAATGAAGTTGGCCAGGTTAAAAAAACAGGGTGAGATAAACTGGCTCGTGTCTCGTCATCTTGTGTGCAGCTTTATGCCAGCCGTAAACAACCTCACTAGTGAACTTCTGGAAGCGGAGAAGTCAAATAGAAGACTTGAGAGAGAGCTCCGGGCCCTCAGAAAGAGACTCGGGGCAACTCTGGTGCTCCGGGGAAGTTTACAAGAGTAGGTAACTCACCTGTTCTTATATGGATGATATGTAGCATATTTTGTAATACTGGCAATCTTAATTTTCAGGGATATCAACAAAACTGTCAAAGCTCAGGCAGTGGAGAGCGCTAAAGCTGAGGAGAAGCTGCTCAAAATGGATTTTGTGACAGCAAAGGCGAACGAGCTCAGTAACAGACGGGAGCGGTGGGAGGTATGTTGTTTGTGTTTCATTAGGTATACCTTGTTAGTGCAGGGTTGGACCCCTTTTTTCTCATGAGACCAGGCTTTTTTTTTCATATCATTTTTCATATCTTTTTTTAGAAATCCAATTTTTTCTTAGCCCAGGCAAATTGTCGCCTCAGTTTCCTGATCTTAGCTGACAGGAGTGGCACCCAGTGTAGTCTTCTTCTGCTGTAGCTCATCTGCTGCAAGCTTAGTTGTATTATATTCAGAGAGGTTCTTCTGAATACCTTGGTTGTAATGGGTGGTTATTTGAGTTACTTCCTGTCAGCTCAATGCAGTCTGGTCCTTCCCGTCTGGCATCAATGAGGCGTTTTCAGCCAGAAGCTAGAATAATACAGTACTCCTGTCTGCACCTCCAACCATCAACCAGGTTCAAAGTCACTTTAATCCCATTTCTTGCTCATTCTGATGCTGTGTTTGAACTTCAGCAGATGGTCTTGATGCTCTGAGTTGTGATTGGCTACTTGTACTTGCATTACCAGTACTCCAGTAGGCAGACTGAATAATGTGTATATTGCAGTGATATCTGAGGCAGTTTGAAAAAGAAAGAAGAGCTAATGATAATAATGCCTGTAACATTTTTGCAGAACTCATCAAGATATTTAAAAGTGCTCTGTGTTTCTTTGTGTTGACTCAATTAATTGGAGGTTTGCTTTGGATGAGAAACTATAACAAAATGTACAAATAAGTTTTTGCCCTGCAGCTTTAGAGGTACAGTTACCCTCCAGTTACAGTAAAAATATCCATCATCAGAAGCCAAAAAGATCAATTTTATGTATATAAAACTCTAAGAATGGTCATAGTAAAGGAGAAAAGATGCAGAAGAAAAAGTATTTTTTAAAAACGTTTGGGATGGTATGAAGTGTTGACGACACTACCACAAAAAAGAGATAGTTTTCAAAAAATATAAGAAAAGGTGTAGAAAAATGCACTGTTTTCCTCATTGGGATGACCAGTTTTCCAGTTTTTTTGTTATGCATCAGTGTTTGATCTCCCAGATATAATGTGTGCACCACGTTACAGTTTAGAGAACAGAGATGTTTCTGCAGAACAGGTCCAAGAGTTCCTGTTAATGTCAGGAGGGAGCAGATATTCTAAAGAGCACTGATTTTATTCTGCTCTTTCTGTCCTGCAGGCTCAGCTTGTATCCAGGAACATGGACAAGTCTATCACCCACCAGGCTCTTGTGCAGCTGTCAGAGGTATTTCAGCTTTTCCACATGCGCCCCCATTCATTGCCATGGAAATGAAAATGTAATACCGTCTGCTTAGAGGGTCTGAAAGTGTCATCTTATTTTTCTCTCTACAGGAAGTCACCGAGCTGAAAAAAGAAATAATCCCCTTAAAGAAGAAACTGGAGCCCTACATGGACCTGAGCCCGGTATGTTTGTTTTCACTCTGTTACTGACTTTTAAATACTCCACGACCAAACCCCTTAATCTGTTTTTATCCTTTTGGATAATGTTTTTTGCGCACAAATGACTTTATTAAAACCAACCTGAAGGAAAGGGTTGAACCGTGTTCAGACGTGTGGAAACAAACTTCCTGAATTTGGGTTTCTGAATTTTGTTTTTCCTCCTCTAAACAGAGCCCGTCTCTGGCTCAAGTGAAGATAGAAGAGGCAAAAAGAGAGCTGGTAAGCATCCTAAAAACTCGCTCAATAATGGATGAGATGTGGTGGCTGATTTATTGAATTTGATCCTATTTCTTTTTTTTGTTTTCAGGCTGCACTTGATTCCCAGCTTGAGATGAATGTGGATTTTAAATGAAGATTTGTCTAATGTTACTGTATTATTTACTGTGTTTGTTAAATAATAAAAGTCACTTAAATTTCTTTGCTTTGACACCCACCTTCTGGCTTCTTTTTATGCAACCCAACAGATCTGTGCAGAGACAAGTCTCCTTGTGCTCTAAAAGTAAGAGCTGCTTAGAGGCACTTTTTTCAAAACTTCCAGCTTTAAAGTCTTGTCAATATTATTCTTTATATTTCTCTTTATTTCACAGTTACCTATTAGAGTATTTATTAGAGAACAAAAACATTTGGCTTCATCTGTTTTCTGTTCCTCCACCTCTTCCTGTTTGTTACAGACATCATTAACACTAATCAAGAGCGTTGTCTTTATTTTCTGTTCACTGCAGTCTAATTGAGGGGTTGTTTCCCCTCCGAAGAAGTACTAACAACATGTCGTGAGAGTCTGATCTTTCTCCCCAAATACAGAGACGGTAGATGGCATTAAATGAATAGCTTTGTTGTGATGGCAACATATTTAAAAAAACAGGATTTGGTAACCACGCAAAAGATGTTTGTCTCCCAAACACTTTTAGCAGGAATGTCAAACTCCTCTTGCATCATGGGCTACATACAGCCCACCTTGATCTTTAGTGGGCTGGACCAGAGAAGCTTCTCAAATCTGCCAACACAACTAAATTGTAAGAAGTAAATGTGTGAAAATAACAGGAAAGGTTGTGGTATTTCACTGCCCAAAAAAGTGAAACTTTATATTATTTCATTATTTTTCTATTGCTTATTTACTTTGGTGTAGTATAAATGGCCATGGTGGAGGTCTTTATCTGTAGAAGAAGCTGTAAAACATGTAAATATACAGTTAAAAATCCAAAGATTTCCTTGAAATTTTCCAAAGCTGCCCAGTGGGGTCAGATTTGAGCTTTTTTTCAGCCAATTCTGGGTCCCAGGTCTATGTTTGACACCCCTGATTTATAGTCTGTGTTATTACTGATGGGTCTCCTGTGGTGAATGTTGACATAGTTGTCTTGAACAAAAGAAATTGTAATAAAAAGCATTATTTCTATACTTTTAAAAAAGACTGCATCATCAACACATTTCAGAAGCCTTTCCACTACCTCATTACATGAATTTCTTGTTTACCCATGTGCCACTGTTATTTTACTGACTGGCCTAGATGGCTATGTTACCTCTTAAAAACAAAGTGCAGGAAACCTTTTGTGATAGACAGCAGACTTCCACAGGCTTTGGAAGGATAATGGCACGTAAAAGTGGTTTTGGGGCCACTGCCTGAGCACCCGGAGCCAAAATACGGAGAATGCAACAAACTTGTCCAGTTTATATGCAAAATACCCCCCTTGTGATCCAAACCCACCCTTGCCTCTCCCACTTATGTGGAGCTGAGCGTGGAGACCCCAACTGTCTCTGTCAGTTTGACTGTTGTACGTCTGCTGTGCAGTCTGACACGGAGACTGACTGGTTACCATGGAGTGGGTCATGGATGTGGGCTGGGGAGCAGTTTACCCAGTAGGCCCCCAGCTTCACTGAAAGGCGCCATGGTTAGGGTGTCAGATTATGAGAAGAAACTGAATCAAAATGTCACTTAAAACCTCAAAATTTGGCACTTCTAATTCTAAGAGGTTTTCTACTGATTAAACCTTTGCACAATGTCCTATGAGAGTATTTCTATTACTTTTGTGAAGATGTAAGATTAATATGCGAAGAAAGCCGAAATATTCCGCCAAATATAATACACTGGTCTAAAGCTATGATGTGGAAAAATAAAATAAAGCTTAGGAGTTGTAGAGAAAGGCGAAGGAAACGGGCAGAATAAAACAGCAAGTTCCAAAAAGTAAACATGTGCCTCGCGGAGGGGGAGGGAGCCAGTGCGTCATTACCAGCGAGCGTGTCGCCCCTCTTCCCTTTAAAATAGTTTTATGCGCCACGCCCACATTATGATTCCCGCTCAGCTGTTACTGTGGGTCGTCTTCAGTTTCCACATGGATCCATTCACGGATCTGCGGGCTTGAGCGTTTGGGAAGTCGCCGTGGGAGACTCGCCACTCCACGCGTCGCTCGGATCCGTCACCTCGTCTGTCAGTTTTGAACAACTTGTTGCGCAGCTGCTATTCCCAACCTCCTCTGTGGTCCATTGCTGCTGCTGCTGCACACAGCGGCTGATCTTACTCAACCCCAAACGGCCGCTGTTTTTCTCTCTCTCCTGTGCTGCAGGTGAAGACGGATGAAGAAGTGATTTGATCTCAGCTCAGGCGACACAGAGATGAAGCTCGGTATCGCGGCCTCTTTGAGCGCCTTCACCATCTGGCGTGGGTTCTTGTGAAGTCTGGGAAGTCCTACGGTGGGTTTTTTTTTAAGCGTCCCAGCTTTTAATATGATCAGTGAGACGGGGGATGCGAGTCATGAGCTGGACCCGTTGTCGCGGACTGGACTGGAGCCACAGCCTCCTCTGTCTGACTTTACTCCTGTGGACCAGAAGCATGAGTGGACTGGCTGACTTCTCAGGTAAGATGATGGTGATGTGGGTGGGTGGGGGATTACGGGGTGGTCGTGCAGACAATGAGAACACGAAGTATTTCTGTTACAGCAGGTTGGGTATGAGCCCCACTGTTATATGGTGTGTAATAACAGCTGCCAGTGGGGTTGGGTGGCTGGGGTGTGTGTGTGGGGGGTGAACCTTCTGTTTGCCATTTTTATGTATGGTGTTATAGATAATGTGGCTGTACTCTTTCTCATTGCTAGTGTTCATGATACAGCAAGAAAGTCTGGATGGTATAATGTAACACATCTTAATTCTCTATTTTGTGTCTTCTTGCTGTATTGGTAAAGCTGACAAAATGACTGCGCAGCATTTCTTCTCATATTCTTGTGTTTTATCTGAACCATCTCCCCAGTGTTGGATTTATAAATGTATTTATCTTTGGATACACTGTGCACAGCTTCAGCTCAACACCTTGGAATCAGTAGTAATGTAATGTATAACCGTACAGCACAGGGCGGTTATGTTTGTTGAATGCCGGTTCGCCGAATATGCCACTTTGAAAAAAAAAAAAGACAGTGAGTGAGGCAAGACCACAGTGATTTTTTTTTTTAAAGCAACCTGAGACACCTGCAAGAGCGCCAAAGAGGCCACGCAACCTGCTCCGCAGCTACTGATGCAGTAGATCCAAGAAAAAGAGTGTTTTATTTATGTAGCTAATAAATTACTACAGTTTAGTTTTTTTTAATTCAGTATGATTAGGTGAAATTCTGAATGTAATGTGTAAAATTAGCAAAGTCTCCCTTCTGTGCATGCATACATGTCTTCTGTCTAACAGACTACCTGTCCAGGATCATTACCAGCCACTCTGCCCACGCGTGTGATGGGCAACCTCTGCGGCTCCACTGTCCACGCCACTCCACCATCTCCATCCAGTCTGCCTTCTACGGGAGCAGCGAGATGCAGCTTTGCGGAGTAGCTCCACACCCTCCACTCGGGGCACACAATCACAGCTGCTCAGCTTTCACAGCCCTACAGGTGCATTTTATATGTGGGGTAAAGAGCTGTTTTCACTCTCACTGGGTCAGCTGTTACTTAGTGGCTGCTCGTCACTTTCACGCAGTCTGAAAATCGTCATGTCAACCAGTCGGTGCATAAGCTTGGCTCTTTGCATCTGATTTGGTTGTCCTTCCTTCACTGTGGATGGTGTTTGCTGACTGTCGTCCATGTTTATTGTGCAGAAGCTTTTGTCGGAGTGTCAGAGCCACAGAGACTGCCAGATGCCTGTCAATCACCTGCTATTTGGGAAGGACCCCTGCCCCGGCACTACCAAATACCTCCATGTGGACTACAAGTGTAAACCTAGTGAGTTCATCGGGTCAAATTTTGTTTCAGCACAAGTTTCCTCACACATTCTTAAGCGAATAGCTACACAGCCACACATAAAAATCCTCCCCACACCCAATTTCAGCCGTCAGTTTCCTACCACCATCAGACCCTCCTCCAAGTCGTCTTTACTCCTTTTTTCCCCCCCTCACTCAGCTGAACACAAAAGACATGTGGTGTGTGAAGGAGAAACCATGGTCCTGCGCTGTAAGCCCCCCAGGGCACTGAACATCTATGCAGCTGTCTACGGGCGAAGGCTGGGTCACACCGACACCTGCCCCTCACACCTGACAAGACCACCCCCGTTTGGTGAGTTTCTAGCAGACGATTCCAGCAATGAAAGGTCTCAAGATGCACGAATAAGTTAAAGAGGACACAGTTTGTTTTACATTTAGAGTACAGCACTGTGAAAGTTTAAAAAGGGCGACATATTGCTTCTCAATAGAATTAAATAATTCATTGTATAATCTTGTGAAACTTCTGTGTGTGAGACCGTGATAAGGTGGCAGTTTGTGGAGGGATACTTATTTAATTGCTGCTGTTCCCAGACCTGGTTAAGCAGAAGAAAATGTTCTGATGTTATCATAAACAAATATCTATTCACATTTGTCTTGACATTTCCCATAGCATGAAAAAGCAGGTGCAGATAATAACATGAATAATGGAATAATACATTTACTCATTGGAGTGTGTCCCAGCCATTGTTATCATTTCGTTCTGGGAACATTTCCTGGTGTGACATTCAAACTGTACGTGACTGATTTCACATTGTACAATGACAGGATACAGTTAGGTCTCTGGATGCTTTTGATTTTATTCAAATTTAACCACAACTATGTTAGTCCTGTGTCACATTGGTGACCTGTCCAGGGTGCACCCCGCCTCTTGCCCTACAATAGCTGAGATAGGCTCAAGCCCCTCCCACGACCCTGATATGGATAAGCGGAAGCCAATAGATGGATTAACTACAGTTAATCCATGTTTCTTATTCAGTAACTCTTTTTGCAATTGACTCTTTCCCTGCAGAGTGTCTGAACCATGAGGCCGTACACTTGGTCTCCAAGTCCTGCTACAGCAAACAGAAGTGTGCTGTTCCCGTCAGCAACCAGACCTTTAGGGACCCATGCTTTCCAGGAACCAGGAAGTACCTCAGTGTGATCTATTCTTGTGGTAGGACCCTCTCTGTTTCCTCATTCACCTTAATTGCAATCCCTGTGATGAATTGAACATAGCTGTTTTAAAGTAGGAGCACGTACACAAAGGAAGGTTTTTGTTTTGGCCTCGTTCATTACGCGGTAGCTCCATCGGTGAACATTTCTAACTTCCTACTCTGGATTCTTATCAGCTGATCCCAGCCATCAGCTGTTCTTATCCCATCACACCCAAGAGCGCAATAGCAGGGGAAGATTGGACTGTGAGCAACTGATTTGTGAGTTGGAGTTGACATCCTGATAAACTTCCTGTGATTGGCACAAATGCCATCGAGGTCACATTCATGCATCGTAATTTGGAGCCTGGTGTTGAAAGAATTCTTCTGACTGGATGTGTTGGCTCCATATAGAGCAAAACAATGTGTGTTAGCCTTGAAGGGCGCTTATTATTAATACAATAGTAGGGAAAGTATTTTCGATCTGAATGTGTAACTCCATTGTTGGCTCAGTTTGGATGTGAGAAGTAGCTTGTTTAAAACGGTCTACTGAGCCACTGAGTCATTTTGTTCACAGCGATACAAAGACTTCTTCTGTCCTTTTCCCAATAGTACCGCAGAGTTTACTAAGGGTGGCAGACCCCAACATAGTAAGCCTCACCTCATCTCCTAGCGTGGGCACAGAAAAAGGTACAACAGCGTCATGCCGTCCACGCAGTTCCAAGATTTTATTGTGACTTCTTCACATCGTACTTGTAATCTTCACAATCTTCTCCTGCAGATCTGGAGGAGCCCTTTCCTAAAGGCTCAAGAAGGCCTGACAACTCAGGAGCGATGATGAGCAACTCTCTCCTGACATATGCTTACATCAAAGGTATTGACACACATGCGCTCATGAACTAACTCCCAATCCATGCTTTATCGCAACTCCCCCTCTTTGTTTCCTACACAGAGCATCCTGAAATGGCAGCTCTGCTGTTTACCTCCAGCGTGTGCGTTGGTCTCCTGCTCACCCTGCTGGCTGTATCTGTTCGAGTGACCTGCAGGGCACGCTGGGTCAGAGATCACAGACTTGCACCCAAGCCGGGAAGCCCTACTGTTAAGTATCAGAAAGATGACGAGGATGAGGATGACACAGATGAAGAAGAAGATGACCACGAGGGAACGGGAAGATCTTTGCTCTCAGCCACGGAAAGGAAGGCGATATACGGTTGGGAGGAAGTGACTTATGTGAGCGAAGCGGCCGAGCGGGCGGAGAGGATTGAGCGCAGAGAGATGATCATGCAGGAGATCTGGATGAACGCCTATCTGAATGGCAGCTCGTGTTAAATAACTCATGACCTGTGGATGCTACTCAGCATCTGGTGTTTTTTTCCCATCAGGTATACTGATCACCACCGCAAGAAGCTCCTTTTTTAACATTGCAGTTTGTTGTGTTTTGCCATTTTTGCGAACAATATGCGAAGAAAAAGTTTTCAAAAGTTTCCATGATCAACAAAGTTTTATGTCTTTTGTATTTATACAGACTCACCACTAAATATAGCTTTAACATTTCAGGCTGAAACATTATTTATAAAAAAAAAAACAACCCCAGCAAACAAACAAACAAAAAAGCATTCACCAACAACTTTATCAGGTTCACAGGCTAGTACCAGGTTGGTCCCCTTTTTGCATTTAAAACGTCATTAATTCTTCAGCACAGATGCTGACATTTTGATCCATATTTGGTTCATATTGACATGATAGCATCACACAGTCACTACAGATTTGTCAGCTCCATATCCATGTGGAATCTTCGTTCCACGACATCTATTGGACTAATATCCCGTGACTAGGGAGGTCATTTGAGTGCTGTAAACTCACTGTCAAGTTCAAGATCCAGTGTGAGATGACTTGAGCTTTGTGGCACGGCTCGTTAAGCAGCCATGGGAAGATGGGTACACTGTGGTCATACAGGGACGGACATGGTCAGCTACAATATTTGCACCAGCCGTGCCAAGGAAATATTCCTCACATCATTACACCATCACTGTTAATACAATGCATGATGGATTTATACTTTAAAGATGTTTACACCAAATTCTCACCTTCAATCCAAACGTCACAGCTGACCGTGATTTTACAGTCTTTACAGTCCAATTTCGGTGACCCTGTGTGAATTGTAACCTCAGTTTCGTGCTCGTAGCTGACAGGAGCAGCAGTGTGGCCCTCTCCTTCAAAGATGCTTATTTGAGCTACTGTTTCCTATCAGCTGGAAGAAGTCTGGCTATTCATTACTTGCTGTCATGTGAGTGACTGATTAGATATTTGCATCTCTTGAACAGGTGTAGCTAATTAAGCGGCCAGAGGGTGTATTACTGCACTAATTCCTGATCAAGCAGTCTCATAGCGGCTGTGTTTGTGATATAAACCGAAGAACATGTCAGGGAACAGATCCTGTAATCTAAAGAGATCACTAAACTAAGAAATACAAATGCATGTAAAGACCATTTGATGTATTACAAAAACAAGAATCAGGAGGAGGGGGATAACATTCCAAGGAAAAATAACTAATGTTCAAGTGTAAGGTATTCCCTGAGACTAGTGATAATTTTATGACAGATATTTCCTTATCGCCTCCTATTAGATATTCTTTGATTGGATCATCCACTGCGGACTTAATACAAAGCAAGTGACAGCACCTTTGGTGATGAGGTTTATATAATCTTCTAGAGTAAAGCTTTGACCAATCAAAAAAGAAAAAACTTTAAGAGAATTTCAGACTTTTTGGAGGCATTTTGTGAAACTTGATAGAACTCTCTGGATAACTGCTTCGTCTCCGTCAAAAGTTCAAGGGGATGACAACTCAGTCTGAACTCTACACCTTTCTCAGTCCTGCTGGGATGACCTGAACTGTGTGGAAACTTCCTGACTGCGAGCAACTTTCACAGGCGTTTGTTTGTCTCATTACCGAGAAGACAAAGAGAGGAAAGGTGTAGCATCCTTGTCCTTGCACTCCCAGGGATGTAAAACTACTGATATTGATCAATTTTTGTGTTCACGTGATCAAAATATAAAACACAGAATAAACTTTATTTTTTTCGTACAGACTCAATAAAAAACAACATGGTGAAACTGATAAAGGAACACTGGGAGCAAATTTATATTTAAATAAATCAAACACCAGCCTCAGTTTCACATTATGTCAGGATCTGAACTTCAGGACGGTTACAGAGGAGGAGAAACTCCAAGATATAAGAGCACACAGGCTGAATCATTAGTACTATCTGGATGATGTCACATGAGACCAAGAGGAAGCTCATTTTAAGATTTTGAAAAGGCAACTTGTCCAGCTGAATACAGAGCTGTTGAACTCCAGATGACAGAAGTGGCTCCGAGTTGGGTTTGTAGAGTGTTGCTGGTCTTCATCTCGGCCCCCATTTGATATTAGTGAGACCCTGAAACTGTCTTTTGAGGGCCTGCCTGTCTGACCACTCTGAGTCCAGGTAGCGATCATCATCCGCCTCCTCCAGTTTCTAAAAATGTGACAAAGAAAAGATTAGAATGTTTGTTCAAAGCCAAATGTTTATAACATGTGACACATTTCCTCACCTTGAGCTCTTCCTGCCTTCTGTAATAGTGCATCATCATCTGTTTCTGCTGGTCATCGGTGATTACAGGTTCTCTCGCTGGCGCCCCCTGTCCTTTCTAAAGTGAATAGTAAAAGGGTTTAAAAAAAACCCTCAAAAACATATGATGAAGGTCACGGGCCTCAAACATACTTTAGATTGAAATGGCTCTCACCTTTTGGATTTTAACCACTAGCTTTGTCTTTTCATTTCTGCCAATGTAGTCCTGCAGTTTTTTGCCCCTCTGCATCTCTTTGGCAGCCCACCACAGCTGGCATTCGTCGTCTGTGATCACCTGCAGAGACGCCTGAGATGAAGAGAAAAGTAGCAGAAACAGTTGAGAGAGGGCGAAGGCAATTTCATGAGCTTCAAATTAATTTAAAAATAAGACACCTTTTTAAAATAACACCTCCAATGATCATACCATAAATGGAAGATAAAAATTCCTAATTTTATGTGGCCATCAGCCTCCATTTCAGCTGTTTCACCTGTGTTTCTGAAAGGTCTTCCTTGTCCTCTAATTCCATCCTGATTGGGTCGTGAGGAGGCAGCCCCATGGGGTACACGATCATGACCGCCCCCCTTAGCTGATCCAGTGCTTCCTTTATCATTTCCACAGTGACACAAACATTGGCTTGAACTTGTTTCTGCATGATAAAGAGAATGACGTAATTTGTTTGTGACGCCCTTTTTGAACAAAGCAAAAAGTAACGATCAACCGTTAAAGCAAATAACTCACTTTGGAGATGAGCGCCGTTGCAGCCTCCACCGTTCTCATCAGCACCTCTTTCATTTTATCATTAGGCGCTAGTAGAAGGCAAAGGGATGGTTTAAACATGCATTCTTGCAAATAAAAAGGATTGCTTGCAAAATTGTCATCTTTGTAAAGGAAATTTGTGTAGTATTATCTACAGCTGTTACGTGCTATCAGATATCATTTCATATAATTGCACAAAGTCAGGAAACCAGGCTTTAACTACAGAGCTATATTAAATCATGCAAACCCAAACGGATGTTACAGTCTCACCTTGTCCATTCCTCCTCCCAATCTCATCCTTTCTAAACACAGAGCCTCCACTGGGGATGCACTTTTCTCCCCATTCATCCCTCAGGTTTAGCTCCTCAATCTGCTCCTCTGTCAGCCCCTGCATGTTGGGTGGCAGTGAGATGCCATGGTCTGCAAGCTCGGGAATCTCTGAGGGCACACAGAGGAACAAGCAGATCTTTGTCAGAGGCCCACTTACAGGGTTGAATTATGCTATTTGGGGAACTCAGAGACACGAAACTGGTCAAAATAGAGTGCACCAGCACTGATGTTAAGTTTCAACAGTAGTGAGGTGCAGGTTTGAGTCGTGGCAGCACCGAGGGTGTGTTTTCACCTGAACATAGTCTCTCCACTTTGAGCCTTCCGTTGTAAATGGCAGTAATTTGCTGGATCAGAGTTTCCAGAGGGGTGTCCACGGTGGTGTTAAAAAGAAAAAGGCTTTCGTCTCCACGCTTCACGTGAAGTTGCACCATTTCGCTAAGCAACACCTGCTTACCCCACCTTCCTGAAAGATAGGTTTGAAAGAGAAGAAAGTTGGGGCCTGAATGAAACTTGAACACCACCAACCACTTTCCCTCAGTAGGACAACAGTGCGTAACCATAGCGACAGCCGTGCCTGTCGCGGATGCTTCCAGAACACACGTAGCTAACGTTAGCTCTATGGAAGCTAACTGTTATGGCTGCTCACAGTGACACAGTGATACTGTCTGTTGTTATTTTCTCACAGTGACCTACAGCGGTGACACGTACCTATGCAGTAAAACGTGAAGCACTGTGTTCGGTCCCTCCAGTTTAACTTGCGCTCACACTAAACAGCTCACACTGTTTACAACCGGTGGCATTACTTCCCAATTACGATTGGTCAGCCCGGCTGCTTTCTTCGACTGTAATTTGGAGGACACTTCGTGCTATAAAAGCTGTGACACTGCCCCCTAATGGAGCACAGCGGCAACACTGTGCTCCATTTTCACTGTGCAAAGAGAAACCGGCTAGAAGCGCTCACCTTGTTTGCCATGCTCGTCACGTTAAAATCCTTTAATTTCCTCGTTACTCATGATGGCATCTTAAGGAAATAATTAGGATCTTTTAAAAGTCCTTAATTTAAAATAAATATTATGGCATAACAATGTACTGTATGTTTCTAAAATTTCAAAAGACTATCCAGGAATAAGGGGCATTTTTATGCAGTCAAAAACCAACAAGTACTCATGTCAACATACATTTATTTATTTTTTGCATACATACAACATAAACTGCTTCATACATAAATGTGCTGTCTGCTGTGCACATAAATTATGGAACATTGGATATTAATGTGAATTACAGCTCTAGGTTTTCACTTTAATACATACAGAATATGTTCCACAACACAGACTCTTAGTTACTATGGATTATAGCCATAAAAAGGGACACCAACCTCACAAAAGGAGCATTTTATTTCCTATAAAATGTCATCTCGAACTGTGACATGACACAAAGCGCTGGCTAGTCACCTACTGTTAATGCAGATACAGTATCTACTGCACACTTTGAATAACACAGATGCATTTTAGAGATGACACTTACATGTAAGCAGAGGCAGCCGATACACTTGCTTACATAGAGAGCTACTGCCTTCATTGCAGTGAATGAAGATTATCTTTGCGTATTTTACAAGTGTTTAAACAGAAAGCAGAAGCATTAGTTAGGTGGCGCGTTCTTAAATCTGATGTTCATCTTTCATGAACCACTGTAATGCTTTTCAAATAACATAATTCCTGAAGGCTGGGGGAAATGGCATGTGTCGAGGCATGGTACCTGTTGCTCATCCTTCTGCAAATCTATTGCTTATCATCACCGTCAACGTTAACGTTAACGCTGACTAACAGCAGTGAAAAAGTGAAGTAGGTAGTACAGGACAAAATACTGACACATCACCTCTGACAACACACACACACACACCTGAAGAATGGTTACGATATCAGTGAGGCTCAGTCATAAAACACCCTCAAACAACCAAGGGATAGATATCACATGTGGATCAGAAAAAGCTGAGATTTTGACACCCAACACTCAAATCAAACTTCTGTCTGGAATGTGGGCCACACTGGAAATGTGTTCTGCTGACGCATCTGGGTCTGAGCAGAGTGTGTAGTTCAGTCTAATGAAGTCAGTCAAGATGGTACTCAGAGTACTCAATTGTACAGAGGCATTCTTATTTAGATGGAGAGTGGCATGAGACCCCCCCCCACGAAACAGTCCTGTCTTGTATTGTCAACATTGCTGCGTAACAGCCTGGGTGTAGCCTCTGGCAGGCTGAGGGAATACATACACAGCTGCAGCCAGGAAAAAGTGAATACAGTAGCTGTTAGTGCAGAGCCTGTAAGGAAATACACCGCTTATACTCAAAAGGGAAAAGCTCCGGTATTCCACTCTTAAGTCTGTACACGCACTCACATCCAAATACAAACACTGTCAAACACGATAAGAGACGATTATGCACTTCAAACACATCACTTCTCACCACAGTAACATTACGATTATTCAGAATAAGTTCTATTAGAAATAAGAAGCATTTTAAACAAAGACTAAAGTGGGAAAAAAAAGTGCCCTCTTGTTGATGCATGGCATGTGCTTGCTGCCATGAACACAGATCACATCCTCTTTGTACTGTAACACACACACACACCACATTCTTTAATAGTTTAGTGTGATGCTTTGGATGAATCAAGAAGGATCAAAATAACAACAACAAAAAAAAAAAAGCCCTCTTATGCTCACTCAGTCTTCAGGCTCAACAGCCAGGAGTGCACACGCAGTGCATTTCAGTTACTCTATGCAAACCACTGACACTGGTCAAACACACACACACACACACACACACACACACACACACACACACACACACACACACACACACACACACACACACACACACACACACCCCCCCAATTATTTTCCATACTGGAAACACACATTTATACATAACTTCTATGTATAGGTTTTGATAGAGGGCTACAGAATATGTTCAGCTAAGCGTAAGAAACCTGAATGAACAGAGAGAAAACAAAATGCATTTCTATCCGCTGGATGAGATGATATTAAAGAGCATGGCTCCCTGGGTGAGCAGTCACATTAACTGACCTGTGCTGTCTTTTTCCACACTGTGGCTTTAGCAAGGAGGTGATGACAACCTCCAGTGCAAAATAAAGTACATTCATGATAAAAGCAAGCATACCATGTAATGCTATAATTTTTTATCTCACATACAAAAGAACAGAAATAAAACGTACAATTAACTATATTTGCAAATCAAAGAAAACTGCTGCGGACAGCAGCAAACATCGGGGCAAATGTAAACCTGCAGTGCATAACCTTCTGTGACGATACTGTGAAAAGTAGATTAGCATCAACTCCGGCGAGGAGCTCATTCAAAATGAAGGATATGAACCGTGGTGTGCAATTTTAAAAGTTACACAGATTTAGGTAAAACTTCGCAGGCAAGTGCAGCGTGGTGCACGGCCAAGGAATATTTTGATATTGCACAAGTGAATACACAAATGATTTGTGCGTATAGATATACTTTGATTAACATACTGTAGACACAGGCACATGTTTGCTGCCATGAATAAAAAATAACGGTCAGAATGATTCTTAGTAAAATAAGTGTTAATATCCGGGAACGTAAAGTCAACAACACACTTTTGGGCTCATACTCTTCTCATCGTACTGCTTGAGATACAAAGCCTTTCCTGTAATTCAGAAGGGAATTGGTCTATACTTCTTAAATACTGTCTCTTTTGTACATACACACATATACACATTTATCATAGATCTATACATATCTGGATATGCCCTTTACATATGAACTGTGATTCTATCTTTCCATTGAATCCCTGGGGAATAAGCCGTTGTCAGTGGGTCCCTCTGGGAGCTTTGGGTTACTGGTTGCAGTTCTATTTGGGATGGGAGGAGAGAGGGTCGGGATTGCTGCAGGCATGGAAGATAACCACTCTGGTTCTAAATTAAACACAGAGCTGGAAGGCTGCATCTGAGTTTGGGGCACGAGGGAACTGGAAGGAAAGACTGGGTTTTGTGAAGTTTTGCTTGGAGGTTGAAAATCATCATCGAAAGTGACCCATTGCTTAGCTTGCTTTGCTACTGGGCCAGGTGGCTGGTGTCGAGGCGCAACGGCAGGTGGAAGAGATGAGGGTGCCACCATGGGTAAAGTGGGAGGAGGAGATGGGTTAAGGGCAAGAGGGAGTAAAGAAGCAGGAGCAGGATTAAGACTGGATGATGGTCCAAACAGAGACATGGTCTTTTGGAGTTGGGTGGTGGGTACAGCTGCAGGAGCTCCTGTTTGAGCTGGGGTGGGTATCAGTGGTGGAGTAAGAGACACAGTTCTCTGAAGGTTTGCTGTTGGAGGCGAAAGCTGAAAAGTGAAGTCAGGTGTGAGCGGGCGCCGCTGCTGCTGCTGCACCAGTGGGCCAGTGAAGGGGTTGGTGCTGCTGGGTCGGGCAGGAAGTGGGTCAGCTGAGAAAGGGTTGGGGGAGGCGCGTAGCGTCTCCTGAGAGCGACTGCGAGACGGGACCGGAGGAGGAGGGAGCAGCGTCGAGGCAAATGGTGACGGGGTGGAGAGTGAAGAAGAAGAGGATGAATCAAAGGCTTGCAAATCTGCTAGAGTGGAGGACTGGTGGGAGAAGGATGATGGGAGAGTGGTGGAGGAAAAGACAGTTGGCGTACGCCGGGAGGATCCTCTGGTCAGTGACTGGGTGGTGTGCCAAGAGGATGAGGAGGGCAAGAAATCAGATGTAAGTGTGTCAAAGGGGTCGGGCTTCCATTGTGCTTCTCCTTGAATCCCATTCAGTCCGTTTGTCTAAGAAAGGACAAAACAAAGAAAATGCTTCAACAACAAATGCACTGTGAAGATATGAACCACGCACAATTATGACTGGAGTACTTAACTATCAAATGAACCATATATTTTGAAACAAATGTTGACCCCTTGGTTATTCCTTGTAAACAAACTTGACTTGAATGACATTCATAACACAACATTGCCAAAGCTTTTTTTCCCCCTCCAACTTGTTTCCCCACCCATAAATGGTGTGACACGCACGCACGCACGACTACAAAAAATGGTTAAAATAAAACAAATCAAAGGAAATGTCAAAATAAATTCTGATGTCATTGGATATGAGCTCACTCAACATCTGCAGCACAGTGAACCCATATGAAAGGACAAGTGACAGGAAATGGATAACAGCAAGCATCACATTTTCATCTGTTTTTCTTATTTTCCCATCCTTCTCAAATCTTTTATGGTTTGATATGTTGACGGACAAAAGAAGTAAAAACAAATGACGCTCCGCTTTATGAGCCTAACACACAAACACAAAAAAAATATGCAAGGCCTTATAGGAGAGCAAAACATTCAGGTTGGCATTAAAGATAAAATCGATTACAAAATAAGAAAAAGGGAAGTTACTGGGTTTAATGTATGAAAGGTTTTAACATCAGGACTGTGCTATGGAGGATGAGACAAAAAGGTGGTTTAATATCAAGTACCTTTCACCCTGAGGGCTTCTCCAGCTTGTGAAAAAGAGACAAATGTATCAGAAAGAGTAAAGCAGAAAGAAAGACAAAGAACACTCAGCTCATCTGACAGAAAAGGAAGCAGAAAAAGATCTTTTTCTATTTTTGTAGTCTTTAACCCACAGCAGTTTCATAAGTAGGTGTACAACATCTTATTTAATTAACCGGAGTTCAAAATCTGTCAAAGCGAACCCAAACAGCAATCTGGAAAAATAATCTCACTGTACTAATTAAATAAGTGTGTGTTCACTACTTCCAATAATTAAATGAAAAGAAAGTTGGCAACTACCTGTGCAGCTGGGGCAGTCTCAGACTTGGCAGCGTCAGGCGGCAGAGCATGAGAGGAGCGGGAACGTGGTGGGGGTTTAGGAGAGGCTAAACTCGGCTGAGGCCCGGCGGGGGTGGCAGCAGCAGGTGCAGCAGAAGGACCTGCTGCTTTAGGGGCTGGCGCTGGCTGTGGCTGGAGAGGAGCTGGAAGTGTGGGCTGCATTGGAGGTGGAAGCTGAGACTGAGCTGGAGGGGCAGCTGGCTGAGGCTGCATGGGAGGCTGCATGGGTGATGAAACCTGGGGCTTCACTGCAGGTGGAGCTGCAGGAGGTGCTCCTGAGGGTTGAGGACCTGAAGAAGTGAGGCAAGAGTGAGGAAACAGAAAACAGTTAAGGGTTAAAGTTGCTGTGTGACAACAAAAGACTTATTAATCAAATTTCCAGGTTTATTTTTTTCTGTGTATAATTAAATTAACTGGCCATTTGAACCCCTCTAAATGTAGCCTCTGTCTGAGATCGGCTGTTTTAGCTCCCGTCTCTTTTAGCTGTCCTTCCTTTGAGCCTAACATGTCCTGACTGGCTCGCAAAAGGAACCTGCCCCTCTAAGACTTTTGATCCTTACAGAAACAAACAGTGGTAGGTGGATTTCACCAATTCATCTTGTTCTTTAATCAAAATGGCAATTTATTAAACACACCAGAAGCTGTTTTAGTTTGAAGAACGATTTTGGCGACAGTTTTCACATTGGAATATCTCAGCAATGCCCCACTATCGATAATACAATTCATTAACCTCTATGAAAACGTATTTCTTTACCCAGAGGCAGGTCAGCTGGTTTGGTCTGGGCACTGGGCACAGGTCGTGGGGCTCCAGGGTGGGTATCTGAAATAGGGTGAGGGGCCCCGGGATGCACCTCTGGAATGGGCCTTGGTGCTCCAGGGTGAGATGGAGGTGGTGGGCGAGACTGAGGTGTCACACTGATTACCCCGGCTCGAGGAGGGATATTCTGAAGGGTGAAGAAAGAAAAGTGAATAGAAATTAGGAGGTGGGCAAAATTTAAAAAAGAAGAAAAAAAGAAAGAATGATGATAAATCTTAAGTATTAAACTCACTGGTCTGGAAGCACCTCCTGGTCCAGGTGCTCCTGCTGCTGTCTGCCCTCGACCTGAGAGACAAACAAACTGTAAGATAATTTGTTCCAAACAATACTGACCATGCAGGGTGTGCCCTGTAGGTTGAGATTCACAGAACAGGGACTTTTAAGATTAATAAGTTCAAGTTAAAGAAAATTTTAAAGCGGCACTAAATATCATTCGAACAGACTGCAAACTGACCTGAACCTATGACAGACCAAATTCCCTGTGGCTGACTTCATAATTAATGATGACTCAGTCATTCCTGAGCTGCAGGAGGTCTGGGAGAGAGGCAGGCCTTGTTCTGTGAGCCAACTGCTTACCACAGAGAAAGCATACTCCTCATCTTTCACTATTCTCTTCTTGAGCTCCTCTCAGAGCCTGCAAACATTTTCTCACGCCACTTGGATGTCTGTCTCTGTCTAACTAACTCCGTTAACTATACAGTCACCCCTGCCAACCACACGCACCCTTAATGTAACAGAGAGATTTAGCTAACCAGAGTCACCATACAAATGAGTCAGGTCACCAATAGGCTATTAATCCAAACCCTATCCTCCAGCCCAGGACAGGCGTATTTTGTATCAGGGTATTAACACATACCCAAGTAAAACACAACACAAAGATAAGCTCCCTTGTCTTTAATAGTATATGGATGCTCAGTGAAGCTTTGCATGCTATCAGGCACTCACCTGCAGCATCTGGCCGAGGAAGAGCAGGGCTTTTTTGTCCTTTGCAGCACAAAGGAAACCAAACCACATTTTGTTATACACAAACTGGAATAGTACTGATGGGATATACGTGCCCCCAAGGATAGTACGGTATAAAAAGCAGTAGCAAAAGCATATGCTGGCAATAATGCAGCAGTGCAGTGAAGCATGTGATGCTGTGAACACCCACCTGCCACCTCCAACTAATCAAAAGGGATTAGCCAAACTGAATTAAAGACCACCTCAAAGACCAAGAGATTTCCCTTCAACTCACATCATCTCCCCAGGTTTGACGACAACAATCAGACAACTACTCGTTTAGTCCGTAATGACAAAAGACACACTTGTCAGGTATCCTTTTCATCAGTATGTGCAAATGGTTTTTAACAAAGTATGGAACTCATGACCCCTGATTTATTTTCATTGTCCAACTTTTTATACAGTTGTAAAATATATTTCTAGAACCCAATGACCTCTGGTGGATGTCGTGTACTGCCAGTGAATATTAAATGGGAAGGAAGAAATATAACCTAACCTGCAACACATCTCTCTTTCTCAAACACGCACACACAAGATTAAAAAGAAGACTCAGAGTAAAACATCTGTAAATCATCAATGTCATAAAAAAGTCTAATTCACATTGATGACCGGGCGCAAAAATACAGGGATCTAAAAACAACTCCTCTCTGGTTACCTTGACTGGCCCTCCTACCAAGCCGTGGTTTGGGAAACTGGACACAGTCTTAAAGTCAAAGAGGGAAAACGATGTTTTGAAAATAAAGCACAGAAGGACACATGATAACCAATTTATTAAAACCAAAATTACTAAGTTTTGGTGTTGTTGAAACATCATGACAATGTCTACTATGTATATATATGTATATTACATACTACTCAGAAATCGAATAAATACAAGAAAGAGTAACCAATGTCTAAAACGCTAAGAATACTGCAGGACTCACAGAGGGAGTACAGAGGGGGAGACACTAATGACTATATAAGAATTTATATCAGGGGTATCAAACATAAGGTCTTGGGGCCATAACTGGCCTGCCAAGACTCTAACCTGTGAAGGACGTCATACATTTTTATCTTTTAACCACGTTTTAAAAAGTTTCACTGCTTTTCTTACTGATGAAGACCGCCACCATGGCCATTCACAACACATCAACATAATAAATTATAATTAGTAATGTTACACATTTACTTTTCAGAATTTACGCCCAAAGATTCATACGGACAGATTTCTTTCACTTACCACACCAGCATTTCATTATAACGTAGCAAAACTGAGACAAAATGTTGAAAATAAAACTTCTTTATGCTGACATAAATCACTGGTTTCACCGGTCTGACCCATATCGGATCTAAATAGGTTGTATGTGGACTGCAATGTAAAATGAGCTTGACATCCCTGATTTGTATCAACTACAAAGAACAAACCAATAAAAAACACACACACACACACACACACACACACACACACACACACACACACACAATGGAGAGTACTGGGAGGATGCACATTTAAACTTGACCTAAGTGGTCTTCAGCACATTTCAACTGACAAACTTCATAAACACAGTTAATTTTGTAGCTGCTCCCTGTAAACCAAACAGATCCAAATATCTCATTTCAAGTTTTCATGACACCCCAGCTGAAAAGCTCCAGCTAAATCCACAGTCCATCCAGATGTGTGTGCATTCATTAAGGTTCAGGTATATGTTGCATTAGTGTTTCAGCAAAAAAAAAAAACATACATTTGGGAGAAAAATATTGTGTGTAAATTAAACTTAACTATAAGCCAATTTAAAAAAAAAATGCATTTAAGTCTGAGCAGCTCTCAGTTAGCAAAATTAAAAAAAATTCAGACTATATAATGTTAAGTTATATATCTGGTGTTATTTGCTCAAGAGCATCTCTATGACAGCTGAGCATGTATGGCCAGTAATTATTAATAAGCTTTTTGTAATATGTTATTCCTACAAAGCTTGTTTGTAATTAAACTCTAGAAGCAAAATGATGACAATATTCAATATTTACATTAATCTGAAATCTCATAGCATATTCTTGTTTTACAGCACACACACAGACTAAATGTTCCCAAATCAGCACCGATTCATTGCTCCTGTCTGCGTGCAATTCAAATGAAAAACAGCATCTGCTACATCCAGTGCTTACACACATCAACTGCACAGCAATCACTTTACCTCCAGAGTGCCTTCTAATTGGCTCAGGGCTCACGCCTCCTTTAGAAATAAGGCAAAGCATGCGGGAAAGTGAAAATGTTAGCATCTGCCTACATGCCATACAATACCGGGGAAAAAAAATTAAACTACAAATCCAAATTCAAATTAAAGATTTATTTAACAAATTTTCTCCGCATAGCTCTAATGGAAAACAGCACTTGCTAAAAGCAAACGCTTACGTAATGTAAGCATTTAACTACATAGCAATCACTTTACCTCCAGAGCTCCTTCTATCTGGCAGAGGGCTCATGCCTCCTTCAGATATCAGGCAAAGCATGGAAAAAAGGTGAAAATGTTATTATCTGCCTATATGTCACAAAACCAGGCAGAATAATTTAAAAAAATATATCCAAACTTCTAATTAATGTTAATTTTTAGCTGCTTATCGATGTATAGCTGGCATATAAAACAGTGCCTACTGCATGGAATGCTTAAGCAACCTAAGCATTTAACTGCACAGCAATCACTTTACCTCCAGAGTGCCTTCTAACTGGCAGAGGGCTCATGCCTCCTTCAGAAATAAGGCAAAGCGTGGGAGAGAGTGAAAATGTTAAACTCCACAATGCAATACCAGCCAGAAAAATCAAATCTACAAACTTCCACTTAAAAGTGACATCTATTTTCTCTAAGGTTGCCTGCTTATCTGTTCTTAAAAATCAGGCTTCAATGAAATGTATGCATGACTCCAGAATTTACTCTACCTGAAGGTGGTGGTGGGCGTTGTGGAGGTGCTGGTCTGGCAGGGGGGGCGTTGGGGCGAGGAGGAGGTGGACGTTTGGGCTCCAGGCCTTGAGCTGTGGGGGCACCAGGCTGGAAGTCAACAGGAGGCCCTGTGAGGAAAAGATATATATGTAAGAGGTAAATTTATTTATTTAAAAAAAGTAAGTAGATTAAGTGACATTTTTCCACATTTCCAAATGGGTCGAGAAAATGTATTCCTGCCCAGTTTAGAGACATTGTGAAAACATGCACATTTTCCCCAACGGTTTTTATACAATTTCTTGATCTAACAAAGCATCTGTTTAGTTTGGACTTAAGAAAAGATTATGTTAAAAATGTCACTTAAACATCTCTCAAAAAGAAAACAAGTAGTTTACTATAATATACACATCATCTGCCAACACTAAACATAAATTACATCATCACGTATAACATTCCCTGATATTCCTTCCTCAGTTACAATGGACTTCAATCTACTCCCACACATTACAAACAACAAAATTACAGTTTACATTCCAGCAGACACAGACCGCCATGAAAGCACTTCTTTACTAAGTGCCGTATTTACCTTGCGATGGTCGGGAGGGCTGTGCTCCACGGCTAGGTCTGCTGGGTGCAGCAGGTTCTCCATGGGTGGGGGAGGGACAGGGGCTACTTCTGGGAGAAGGGAGAGGGGAAGATCCAGGGCCAGTCCCTGCTCCAGGCTGCAGGTGCTGAGGAAGGATCTCCTCAACCTCCTCGTCCACATCACCTGGTACGGGACACAAGAGGGCATGAATTAATAACTGGAAACAGTGCCCTACAGCCATCATTTATAGTGCACATTTTTCAGGGTAAGGACTGGGATTGCTTGGCAGCCATTCTTCACCTTCCATGTCGTAATCATCATCACCCACGTCTGTATCTTCAGCAAGCAGGGTGGAGCTGGCAGATGTGGGAATGCTTCCACAGATCCTCTCCACACTCATCTCTTCCTCCAGACTCTTGATCCAGCCTGGACTCTTCAGACGGATATCGATCACCTTGCCAAGGACCTTAAATGTAAACCAGGTGATACAGGCAAGGCAGAATAAAGAGAGTAGTTACCACATACGCCACCGACAAAAAAGGGTTGATAGACATTTATATGAGAGTTTAATAGTGATTTTAAATGTTTTGTCTTTTAGCTTTGGAATAATTTTATACTCGTGAAGACTTACAGTGGAAGCACTGAGAGACAGAGCAGCTAGAGCAGAGTACCCTTCCAAGAAAGTCACCCACATCTTCTCCTCAACGAACCTGTCCAAACAAGGCCACTGTCAATACACACTAACCATCTGAAGGTGATATGCCTGCCTCTTTGTATTAAGATATCAGGCTCACCTAATGAGGATAACTTCTCCAAAATTAGCAAACTTTTCCAGCAGCTCGTCTATGAGTGCATCATCAAAGTAGTCGTCAGGCCCGGAGGAGCAGAGTGACACCAGAATGGTCCCATCTGGAGGCCCCTGCCGGGCAATGACATCCTTGTAGACCTGATGCCGAGCCTCTGGGTCCACTTCTAGGATGTCCACATCTATCACTGCCACCACAGGCCTACAGATAGATACAAGGGAACGCAGGTCACTCCAATGATAGCGGCACTTGATTTACAAAAAAATGCCACATTTTAACCACCTCTGTTTCTAATCTATGTGATGAGATAGTTTAACTTTACAAAGTTTAATCTAAACCTTCACACTTCTATGCATGCTGTGAGTTACCTGTGGTCTGAGGTCTTCAGCTCAGCCCTTCCATAGTACTTTAAAGTGCCAGGGCTCCAGGTTTGTTCTACATCATCATCACTATCTCTAGATGAAGAAGCTGCTGCTACTATATTCATCTCCTGGGCTGTAAAAAATACACAAACACAAATATATATCAATGCAAGCATATCCTGAGCTCCTATTTCTATTTTTCCTGTGTTGCTTTAGAGATCTGTAATAAAAGGGAAAAATAATTTGGTTTAGATAGGTTATACACACTGACTTTGCATCTAACCTGTTTTGTCAAAGTTCCACTTTCTCCTCTTCCAAAGTATACGGTCAGTCCAGGCGGGCGTGCGGCACTTCTCACTGGTGTCATAGTCTTCTGAGAAGAGGTCATACTTATAGGTGGGGGCAAAATCTAATTTTCCCTCAATAAAACCTCGAAAGACCTGTGGAAGACATTTTTAGATTAATATCTTCATCACAGGATCTTTTTTGTAATCCAAAGTACATTTACATGAAGTAAGAGACCATACTATACAGTCATTTCATATAATTAACATTACAACACAGAACACTCAATTTTTATTTTTATTTTTTACAAACCAAAAGTTTGATATCATAAAAATCACAACATAAATTATTTATGTAAATCTGACATATTGCAATATATATTGAAACAGTGAAAAATACTGCTCTGCTGGTATCATCACATTGTTAGCAGATGTCCAGGCTCAGTCCCACAAATTAGCAGACACTCAAACATGGATGCGTAAAGTATAACATCTGCATAATTATGCATGTGTGCTGTAGGCTTTACCAAACCGGCATTCTTCTGGTCCAACAACTGGTCCCCTGCTGTCAAGGCATCCCAGTTCTGCTGCTTGATGAGATCTTTTACTTCCTCATTAGGCAGACTTATACGATAGTTAAAGTCTCCACACCAGAACACATAATCATGTGAATACAGCAGACGGCCCTGGAGGGTAAGATTTCTGTTATTAAGCATTTAACTTAGACAACAGGGTGTTTTCTTGACTTAATAATGTTATGGTTATTACCATGGGGAAACTGAGTCTGCGTGTGATCTCATTGTAGTCGTCATTCCTCTCTTTGACCTGTGATTGGCCGGCAGCAAAGTGGGAGCAGACGAAGCAGATGCTGGTGGTATGGAACAACAGGCGGATTGCCACACCTCCTTTATTACCTGTGGCGCCACCCATTCCAGTTTTTACAGTATCAACAGCTACATCCCTGGAACACAACGAATATCAGATTACATCTACTACCATACACCCCTAATTATATAACTACTAATGTGGTTTCTGTGCAGCTTATACCTGATAAATGGTGCATGCTGTGGGCGGATGAAAACAAAAAGACACACTCCCACCAGCTGCTCTGAGGCAAGCAGCACATACTTGTGGTCCCGTGAGATATTTTTTTGGAGCTCAGCAGCCCACAGCTTCTGGTTGGTAGTACTGAGACAGGAACAAAATGAGGCATTACAGTGCAGATGATAAAGTTAACCAAATTATCATGTTAACTGTCTAACTGTTAGAAAACCCTCAAAGCAGTTCATGTCATAGTTCTGGCATTGTCTAATGACCTGAGCAAGTTTTAGCAAACTCAAAACTGTAAATCCGCAGCCATTGCTGGAAACAACTTTTTTTTCTACTTTATTTTTCACTTTTAAAGCAATCAGTGTATCGTTGAAGCTTATATTTCTTATCTTCAGTTTTTTAAAGGAAAAAAAAGAAGCTCTAGTGTTGTTGTAATAACTACGAGACAAAGTTCTTTAATCTTAGATCACGATCTTGCACACATACCTGGCACTGACAATGTTTCCCGCATTCAGTTCAACCATTTCCTCGAAACCGATGGCAAAGATATCTATGGGGTTTGTTCTGCTGTCTGTAAAAAGGACAAAAATCTAATTAATGATCCATAAGTGTAAACATTCTAATACCTTGATATAGTCCATCATAAGAATATGGAGGTAGTTTCTAGATTTCAATAAATGTCTTTTAACTACACGTGCATTATTTCAATTTTAACTAATAAAAATTATGTTGGCATAGTATTGCATAATTACTGTAGGAACAGCAAAAGTGATTAACTATACTGTACCTACAGGGTTCGGATAAAGGACAGCAAGCAAGTATATAACTGTACAAGTTAGTCAGAAAATATCAGCATCTTAACATTTATACCATTAAGTACCAGAAAAGGAGCATGAAAATGTATTCATAACAATCCACCTTTTCTAGAAGCATTAATTACAATTTATTGTACTTTCTAAACGTTAAATGATCAGATTTAGATGTGACATCAAACTTATTTTGCCATTCCAATTGGTATCTCAGTTTCGTGAACTTATATAAGCAGTAACTTTTCTTCCCATCTAAGGGAAAAAATGTGCAAACTGTCAGAAAACAAACAAACAAACAAACAAAAAAAAACCCCCACCCAAATATTTCTCTTACCCAATAAATCAAAAGATATATAAATATATATCTGTAGATTATATATACAAAAAGTCCAAAACACTGACATACCCTGGAACTCAGGATGTCCTGCATTCTTTGGAGCATCCAGCAGCCAGTCGTTGAGTGTCTGGTTGCGGAAAGCAATGCTTCGAAACTGTTTACCCCCATTGACATTCCAGGTACCGATGCAAACACGAATCTGCTTGGGCCTTGTGTATTTATGGTAGTTCTGACACATTCCCAACAATACTCTTGGAGATGCTGCAGAAGGGAAAGGATTTGAATTAAAATGTAATTCTACAGTTAGTTTAGTAAGTTTATGTATATATGGACGGCTGCACTCAGGGTAACAAAACTAGAATGGGAAACGCTAACCAAAAGCAACAAAACCAATGGAAAGGTGGTATTCATATACTATGAATGAAAACCACAACAATGTCATAAAACATGGGGCATGGGAGAAAAGGATGCAAATCAGAGCTTGTGCTGAAATACAACAAAAGGTTCACATAATCAACCTTGGTAATGGTTCACTGCTGTCTGTAAAATTCCACTTAAAGGCGTGTTACATTTCAATGCAAAACTAAAAACATCTTTTTTAAAAATTACAGTTTAAGAAGCCTGATGATATGCAACAGATAGTCAATTAAACCACTACCAACACTGGTTTTCAAACAAATGAAAAATAAAAAGTAAAACAAATTATAGGACGAGGTTATGACAGGGTAGAAAAAGATCCATCCACTGGTAGCAGTCTGCCAGTTACTATACCTGATTGTAAGACAGGTTCAGTGACTACAATTGTGTGCGAAAGCAGAGAGGGAGAGAAGGGAAAGAAGTGTGGGTTAACCAGCGCTGTAACAGTTAATACCGGCAAAGCAGTCAGTCAGGCCGGAAGAACGTTAATATTAAGCTTCCCACTTTAGTGACACAGTAGCTTTTGGCTAACAGGGCTATAACATACAGGAGCATACAGAAAACATATCTAAGCAAATAATTTTCTCTTGATGGCAGATAAATAAAATTATATTATGAACATTAAAATGTAACTATTCACCCCAAATTTTAGGCAAGATACATCCACTAATCCAATGAACCCCCCCTAGCATTTACCATAAAGACTGGAAGTGGTGAGCAAAGCCCGAGCTTTGTCTGCCAAATCACTGTTGAGTGTGGAGCCTAGCCTCAGGATGTCTATAGCCTCCTGCTTTGAACTGTCAAAGAAGTTGTTCTGGATGGTCCGAGTCACAGAACGAGCTCCATCTTTCAGCTTCCCCGCCTACAATAACGACAGGTATTCACACACAGTGCAAAAAACAATTACATAAAGCCACCTTAATTTTTAACAATGCTCTCATTTGGTGTGAAGAGCCTGTACTTTCCGTTCCAGCAACGGAGAGAACAAAAGAGGACCACTTCAGAGAGATCAAATGAATACAGATTGTGACAGAAGAACTTTAAAATGTCACTGACTGATGCGCAAGACCGTTTGATTTACAGACACTGATAATCTAGACTGATTCCTTCAGGTTCCAAGAAGATATCAGACAGTGCCCGATGATCATTCATTTTTTTCTTTTCATATTTATGTAAATCAGTGATGAGATCTCCATGGAGTGTCCACAGCAGGTTTTTCTAGGACAGGGAACCCTCAATGGCAATACAACAAAGAAATAAACAGAGGTCTGAACTAACCCTCAATCATCATCACCATCCTCATTTGACCCAGACATGGAAATCAATAATTCACCACGACGGCTCAAAACAAAACATCAACTATCTTGTTAACTTACCACACAGGTAGAGAGGTCCAGAGGACAGCCGAAAGAGACAGCACACAAGAGTTAAGAAACAGAAGCACACAGTTCTACACACAGAAGATCAGCTGTCCATGCAGAACTGTCACTGCAGGTACTACATGCCCATTATTTATATTACTTACTAAGTCCATACTTGTATTATAAACTGTAATTTATGCTTTAATATCCAAGTTAAAACTAACATTTTAAAATTGGATCGTTCCTATTTTTAATTACAGCTTTTTATGCTTCCCCCTCTGTTTATATACTAGAATAAACCCATCTTTGGTTCGGTGCATGTCTATCCAGTAACATGACTGCAGTTCAGACATATCAAATGTAGATTTTTAATATTTAAAAAGGTCACACGCTTTAAATATTAAAAGTTGTGACCTATGTAGTAGCAGTAGTAGTAATAAAAATAATAATAATCATCATCATCATCATCATCATCATCATATATCCAGAAGCAACAATTAAAGATTGCTGGAATATGCTGTGCTTTATCAGGTAGGCCATAATCTGGCTGCTGGCAGGGAAATTGAAAAATTATTTGAAGTGCTTCAATTGTGAATTACTGCTAACCTGCGTATCGTGTGCATTTTTACTGCAGTAAAAGTCTGTACCTTGGCCTTGCCATCCAGGGCCCCGGTGCCTGCATAGATCTTACTGACGGAGTCACCATTAGCGGACCACATGGTCCTAAAAACCTCTTGAAACCTGGCCACCAGCTGTGGTTTCTCTGTCAAACCCATTTGTTCCAACTGCTTAGGCAGCATCTGAGGAAAGGAGGGTGACAGGGGTCAAACTAAAATCCTCTTTAAAGACTACAGGAGCAGACAAGCTCAGCAGTACTCTTACCTCGAGAGCAAAAAAAGCTTGGACACTGTTGGTTCTATCCAAACAATCCAGGCAGTTGGTCCTCATAGTCCCTCCCTGAGTCCTAAAACCACACAATAAAGAGTTATTGCAGCTTTTTTTCCTCCCATCATGTACACTTAAAACTTTCACTGGTGACAATGGCATAATAAAACACCTGTCTACACAGGGTATCATTAAAGGCATTTAACTTATTAGTTTACATAGTGCTAAAATTGCTGCATGACTTGTGAACATATCATGAACAGAAGCTTCAACTCAAATAATAATCAGATGCAACTAAAAAAAACAAAAAAAAAATTAAAAGGTACAACGGAATGTTTTGGGTTTGATTTTTTGCATAAATAAAAGTGATTCTGTGTTTTAACAGTAACAAGAATTTTTTTTTTTTTTTAAATCCATCCTCTTCCGCTTATCCACTTCAATGTTATACAGTAGATTACAGATCGCTCATGGGGTAAGAGGTCAGGTACGCAGGCATGCAAGCACCAATTTCTCACCTTAATATCCCAGTTTCTCCAGAATAGTAGAAGAAACCACACTCTTCTATGAATTTGTTGAGCTGGGGCTTGAGGACACTGTGAAGTTTGTCTGCCTTTCCACCTTTCACATTCTGATGGTAGTCAAAGTTCACCATTTTCACTGCTGAAGCATGTTCTGATGCTTTCAGGTGACTCTAAAATGGTGAGACAGGTAGACTTCCTCAAAATCAAATCTATTGCAAAACTATTTTGCATGTAAGGTGTGTTGCCTTAACTGAAGGGCAAATTAATTTGCATTGCAAATCATTGACCTGAATTCTTGAAGCATGTCATAGTAATGTGTGAACATCCCGGTCGCATAGTCAGAAACCATTTTATATATTTTAAACACAAACTCAGCTCACTGATGACATCAACAGCATTTATGGCAATTAACCCTAACATATGACACCTTAAGTCCCAACATTTCTAGCTGCTGCAAAACATGTAACATCTTTTGCATTTGCAGCTATATGGGGCTTTATACTTCATTAGGTAAACTTCCTGTGTGGTTTGAGGGCAACTACAAGACCACAGAAAAAGACAGGGTTCGAGATCTTATGATAAAGGGTAAAAATAGAGGATGCTATGGTGTGCAAATATGTAAAATAGAAACAAATGAATAATGCTCTTTACTGACTCATTCACCAGAAAATACAGTAAGAAACTGAGGTAGTCTTTCTTGAGCAGCAGTACCCACCCACTTGAAATATTTTTCCCTGCCTTTATGGCGTGGGCTTACGTGGACACAACAGAGAGAATCTGTTTGAACACACATAGCTTACTGCTAGTGTATTTTGGAATGTCATCCTCAGATAAATATCTCACAGCACATCACTGTTAACAGACAATGTATTGACCTCTCACCTGAAACGCTTTGCTGAGCATGTGTTCCCCTTCTTTACTTCCAAGCAGGTTGATTATCACCTGCTTACCATACAACCGCCTCAGTGCAGTAAAGTGTCTGCAAAACACACAATCTGATATAGTAAGCACTTTATAAAAATGACATTAAGCACATTTATCTTATCCTTTACAAATTTCACTTAAAATAAAATAAAAAATTCATACTTTGTAACAATAATTAGGACAGACAAATACAAATGACTCATCTATGATTAAACACCAACAGCCTAGTTTGCATCAAAAGTCCTGTCACTGTAGCAACCTTAACACACAACTCTGTGGCGTACTGTTGTGTTAAACGATGCAAACGCGAGCGCTTCACCCACATTTGCAACTTAAATGGGACCTGTAATAAAAACTTATTTAGAAGCAGCGTATGAATAAATAGTCTGACAACATTAAACTCGTGCAGCCCTCAGTTCTTAACAACAACACTGATAATACAACAGCAGCAGCAATGATGAGCCTCTTTGCACACTGTGAAGTGCAAAGTGGCAGAGTCGTTACTGAGATTGTGAAAGAAAACGTGTTCCTAGTGTCCAAAACGGCAGCACTGTTCCTGTAAACACTAGAAAAGCCTTTATTGAGAAAAAGCTCGTGGTAGTCCTTCATCAAAGCACCTGATCAACAAACTAACGTGAAGAAAAGCAAACTTTTTAGCTGCTCAATCCACCACAATCTGTTTTACACAGCGAAAAATTGAGGCTGTGACTGAAAACTGATGTGAGTAACTTGTTATAGCTTTGCAGATATTGACAGATCTGAATCCTACTGAACATCTATAGGAGACAAAGACAGTGCTCTTTATCACCACTAAACACCAAAAGAGGGATTCTTTTATAAGAATGGTGTTCAATCCCTCCAGTGATATTTGAAAGTTATGGAGAACTGCTGAGGTGCTGTTCTGGCAGCATCTGGTGGCCTAATACTTTCTAAGACACTTAATATTGTCTGTAGGCCTCTTATCTTAATGTTCCTCACAGCTTAAGATTTATATATCCACATGTGGCTCAAATGTTCTCAAGCTGTTCAAGCAAATGTTCAAAGCTGTTCTGAGCTGCACTCTCTTGTTCCATTGTCACTTGTAAGGCCTGTTCCTACCTTTTAATCTACCTTGCCCCTCTTATGAGATTTCCTCTACAAATGAATGCGGGTAGAATCCAGAAAAAGGACATTTCTATCCATGTCAACCAAAAGCCTGCACAGGACCTTAAAGCCTGCCTGGAATTCTCTTCTGGTTATTTCTTACAAGGGGGTTATAATCTTACTATAGCTTGTCTGTTAACACCACTGTTAAGATATGTGCTGAATTAAAAGTGATATGTAAAAGCTTTGACTGCAGTCATATTACCGGTAATGGAATAGAATACATGTGTAAAAGCAAAGCTTTTACAATGACATTCTTGGCTGCAAACAAAAACTACTGGTAACCAGATATCACAAAGGATGACTCATCATCCCTTAGCTGAATAGATATTAGAAAGATTAGCAGCCCTGACAACTACTTAGAGGGAAAAAACAAATAATGTGTTACACAGTACTAATGATTTAAAGTCTAATATACATTCATATTCATAACTCCATTAAAATGCTCCACAAAAAATGAGTAGAATCCAAAAGATCTGGAAATCAAAGAAGTGCTGACAGAACTCTGTAAGACATATCTGCTGGAATGCACAGTGAATGACATGGCTACTTTGAGACTGGTTGGGTAGCTGCTGTGGGCTGATAAGAATGGAGTTCATACTAGCAAGGTGTAACCCACAGATTCGGGTCATCATTTTTGTTCTTGATGACCTGAGTGTATGCTTCAGCAACAATGCATTGAGCTTAAAGCAAAGGAACTTGCAGCTCTGTTCTGTTGTTAACCCTACAGCTGTAACAAGCCAGTTCACAGCGTAATTCTAGAAAAAAGAAAAAAAAGTTTCATTTTATAAAGACTAAAGTCAAATTGTTCTTACTGGGAAAAATCTTAACTTATTTAATGATTATTAAAACATTTGCGTATGTAAAGAAACATTTATTTTTAGCAGACGGACATTAAGACATTGAGAGCAGTTTAATTTTTCACTTTTTTGATATTTAAATTTAACCAAAAAATGTTTGAGGCACAAATAAAGATAGCTGTCAAGAACAGGCACACACACACTCATTAATTGAAATAATGACTTCCAAATTGAATGAACTACCTGTGATTAATGTAAACCACAGGTTATCAAGGCTGATGGCTAAATAAGGGCTACTAATAAACCAACCTCTGAGGACACACTGCAATTAATGTCTTCTTCACAGACCTTAATAGTTTTTCCTCTACTGTGACGAGTACATGAGATATACAGGAATAATATAGCATTTCCTCTGTGGTTCAGAGGAGTGGCTATCTGTGGTAGGCCAGATAAAGCTGCAGGAAACTGCTACACACAAAAAGAGCTGTGCACACAAAACAATTTAATTACCTTTCAAATGCCGGCGCATTTGCCTCAAATCCCCTTGAGAGTTTGACACGATGAGAACCAACCTGGAGAGACACAAGTCACAGTGTCCTTCTTTGGTGAAAGATACCAAAAAAGTCTGTTTTCTAAACACACACACATTGCAGATGACCAGAAAACCCTATGATGACAAATGGATTTCGGAAAGAAAGTGTAGACATCTGAAATGAGGAAACGAGCTCTTAATAGGGCCCAAAAAGAGAATTGCTTAGGAAAAGAGCAACATAGGTGCAAAACGGGGAGATTTGTTCCAACAAAGACACTGAGCAGCAGATAAATGATACATTGTAATTGATCAGCATTTTCCCACATTTAGCCTCTTTTTCTCATATTAATTCTCATTTTGAAAGTATGCTGATACTGAGCAAATCATCAGTCTCATAGGCAAACATGACCACACGAGTAGACCTGGATAGGCTTTGCAAGACATTGGCATTGTGACTGTACTACGCAAGTCTCTTGACTCTGCAGAGCATGTCTCTACTTGTTCCTTTGTTATCCCTACCAATTTCTGCCTCACTCTGAGTTTACATCTTCTCTTCTCATTTGTGCATGGTGGCTCAGTGGTTAGCACAGCAAGTAGTCCTGGGTTTAAACCCAGGAAGGGCCCTTGCTGTGTTGAGTTAACATGTTTTCTCTGCTTATGTTGGTTTTCTGTGGTTTCTCCCACCATCAAATAACATGGCATCTTAAGGCTGGCTATCTGGGCCCAGGACACTCTTGCAAAAGAGACTCTTAGTCAGCAGAGTTTTACTTCCTGTATAAACAAAAGTTGATTCTCTCTGTGTTCAAATATTTCTCTTACTGTCTGTGACAGCTTGTTAAAACAAGAAAAAATACAGCAACACTCCCTCATATTTCAGCTAGTGACTCAGGATGCTTTCTGTGTCTAAAAAAACTGTAGTTTCTCTGGAGATAGTACTCGGTAATAGACCTCAGTATTGACTTTCATTGTGTTGTGGAAGGTTTTTACTTCCCTAAGAATCTTATATTTCCCTTTATTCTGCAGTGTGTGTTGAGCTTAGAATTAATCTGCTTTGTTTGCTTCTATGCACCAATGTGGCCGAGCCTGGGCATGTGTGGAAGGGCTAACATTTTTGCTCCATGCTGTTGTCATTTGTCACTCCTCTCTTTCTCTACTGTTGAGCAGGTCTATGCTTTGCATATTTTATAACTTCCTGAGATGGCATCTGAAACTATTCAGGTTACAGCTGTACAACTCAGACCTGCAGAATAACTGCAGTCAAATCAGTTTTCTTACTTGCTCTGAATTCAAAAGCATCTACTGTTCTATGCAACGTTAACTAAATAAGCTTTGTCACCAACTACAGGAAGAGTTTTTTCACATTTCGTCTACTAATCTATAAAGCAGTAACTTATTAAGTAAACATTTTCAAAATTATTTAGAATTAACTAAGAGGGATCAACCAATCATTTGAATGATTTACAGCCTTAATACTACACTACAAATATGATTTGTAGACTAATTAATATCTATGTCTAATGTGCACTAACTGAGAAAAAAAATAAATCAGTAAATTTTACCATTGATAAACCAAATGTACAAAACCTGCTCAGGAGATATTAGAGAGTATGAGGAGGAGAGCTTAAAAGCCACAACTGGTGGGGATGAAGATCTAAGGCAGTGCTTTAAAGCAGGAGGACTACAGTTTTGTCTGAAAACAACCCCAAGCCCAATACCCAGTGTTTTGACCAAACCAATGACTTTGTGGACTGAATAGGTGATTAATTTGGTCTTAGCTTTTTTTAAGAGCTCCTGCAAAATTGAAAAGCTCTGTCCATATTATCAAATTAAATACTCATCCAGTTGCCTGGTGAATATCAGCGGACACAATGAAGGGAAGTGCTTCGGGAATGTTTTCAGATCAGGTTCTCTCACCTGACCAAAGATGTCTGGGAGCTGAGGAAAACAGAAGAATGCCCTTTACCAAACACTATCACTGTCATTAACCTCCCCCACATCTGATCTAATATTCCAGACTGTGCAATGTCAGGATAAAGGGAAGAAAATCCCACTTGTGTTCTTTGTGATGCAAATTAAATATGTGATTCCACTTCCTGATCAAAATATCAAAAATATTTTTACTCTGTACAGATACTGAGTATAGGAAGAAAATTCCATCAAGGGATTCCCTGATTTCCACAGATATCCTTTGTCATTGCACAGGGGAACACCTATCTGCAGTCTGAAAGCACCAGCACCAGCAAAGCCAAAAAAACACAACACAAACAAAAAGGTTATACCAGGTGGAGGTTCTCAGCCAGTCTATTAGGGTGCCGATTCTCATTCAGTTGCAACAAAACACCCTTAATGGACTTTTTCTGAACACAGCAACAAAATGTGTTAAAAAGTGTGTGATAAATATATGCACTCCATTCCCTTCACACTGTCTTAGACAGACACATCTGCCATTTTTAAACAGTAAAACTTTTTTTGGCTTGTTCTGCAAATGACCAGTGCCAGTTTCATCAGTTCTTTAATTCACGCACACTGTTCCAGCAAGCCAAACTGAGCCTCATCTATAACTACAGCATCAATGATAATAATGACCAGCTTTTTAAAAAACAAACAAACAAAACAACCCCCCCCCCCCCAAAGATCAGGCCTACTTTCATTTTTTTTTTAACTGTGTGGCTTAATATAGGAAAACCACAATCAACAGTTGTATGGGATACATTTAGCTTTCATTACCTGGATTCCCGGCTGTTCCCAGAAAAGAGAAATGGACCCACGGATCTGTATGAAGGATGAGACTTTATCATCCAGGAAAATAACCTGTTCAAAACAAGATTACAAATTTGGTTTAGTGTATAATGTAACATTTTATGAAAAGAAATTAAATCCTAAAATAAGTAAGATGGGAAAAAAACTAAACAAAAAATACACATTGTATAAAACATCCATCTGCATAGGTGTATACTCGTGTGTGGTTTGTAGCTGAATTTTCAGGAAGCAAACGTAATGTAAAGCAGAAATCATAAAACAGACTATGTGTCGTTATAGGGCATGAGCACAACCTGTCAACACATGTTTGATCCTCAGCTTTTTACGGTGTCATTTTTATGGCAAGTATAAGGTTCCAAAAACTTTAACAGATTTCACCTGCTCAGTTTCCACAAAGTTGGCCACTTGTCCATCATCATTTGTTCCTCGGACATTGAATCGCGTGCCAGCACGCTCTGAGCTTAAGCGTGAGAAGATGCATGCCTTGGCTTGTTTGTGCCCTGCATAGATGGTCCTGATCTCCACACCCCCACACATCAGCCTCAGCAGCCAGTCGTCACAGTTTACACCGTAATGTTTTAGGTGCAGATGCAGAGATTGATTCCTAGTGATTCACAAAGTCAGATGTAACCGTAAACACAGAGAGCAGTTTTGCAAATCACAAAAGTTCCCCATATCACAAAATGAGAAAAACCATAAATTATAGCATATCTATAATGTTGGAACAGTAATGCTTTTAAGTTCCTACCAAAAGAAGCGGTTATCTGTAGTGTCTTCTATGATTCTGCGATGTGCATTAAGACTCAAGTCCATGCTGACTCCAGTGGAAGACCAGGCAAAGTAGAAATGTCCTGAGTTTAGGACCTTTCGCACCTCAGCAATTCGTTCCTCATCTCCTGGATCATTCTTCAGTGATATAAAGTCTGTCTGCGTGACCCTGAAAACTTCTGAATCCTGCACCTTGCCCACAGAGCTACAGCCTGTCACAACTACAAGACTGTGGAGCATGGAGTCACCTGTGAAAAAAAATGTGAATATGAAAAAAAAAATTACCATATTTAGTGCACACCCTTCTCTTATTTCCAGTTTTCATATTGGTTTTTTTTTTTTTTTTTTTTTCTTTGACACTACTAAGATATCTTTCCAAGTTCAAAATAATTCTTTATCTTATACTGGGTATGGGTGAAGCTCCTCAGTTCATTCACTATCTGAAGCAAGCCATTTCAGCTACTCTCCTTTAAAAGGACAAATTCCCTTTAAGTCAACTATCATTTGATGGGCTAGCAAACAAACAGACTGAACAGCAGGTGGGTGGGGCTGCTATGCTCACAGCCAGAGTTGTGTGCCTGATATCACAATATGAAGGATATTCTCTCTTTCTGACATCATGAAGATGCAAGAGTAGAAAACAAATTCCTGGATATCAAATGTTTAGAACTTGATAATCTGACCTCACTGTTTAAAACACAATTTTAATATTAGCATCCACAACTGTAACATTATATATATATGACAGAAAAAAAAGTATTTTACATCCACTATAAAGAAAAGAAGGAGAAGCAGTGCTGGAGTGTTAAGAAAAGAAATACAGAAACATTACAAAATTAAATTCTGGACAAAAAATGGTTAAAATCGCAAGCCACTCAAATCACAGCTTTAATTGCTTACAGTGCTTTTTTATTGTTGTGATAACAAGAGCCTTGAAGGGCACATGGAGGACATGAGAAAGCAGCTTAGAAGAAAGCAGCAATGGTGAAAATAATCAGAGCAAGTTCACAGTCAATCAGGAATGGACCCATCTAGGAGCAACAAGCAAAACACATTCTCGCGTCTTACCAAGGTTTAGGCGAAGAACACCCAGAATTCCATAGGCATCTACTATCTTGGTATATGTGTTTTTAATAGCATCCTTCTCTGCTGCCGCTAGAAGACAAACAATGGCAACAAAATTTAAGGAAAATATTGCACCACCTTCCTTTGAAAATCATAGCAATATATCACATCCACCACTACACAATAAGGGATACTCATCTTTTAGTTGCATTGCTTTTACAGCTTCCTTATTTGGTGCAATGGCTTAAAAAGAATGTAAATCATATCTTATTATAGTATAATCAAACAAGATGCCTTACACAGAACAGCAACAGCTGCTGATTCAAACATGAGGCATTCCTCCCTGGCCCTAGTTTCCACTATGACACTGTAAGGTGGTGGGTCCAGCTTGTGGTAAATACGATATCCCTTGCTGAAGGCCATAATTGATCCAAGCTGGAAAAAAACCCTATGTTATTACCTGGAAAACAAGAGAAATTAAAAAAAGAATGACAATAGATCAGAAAAGAAATATTCTCACATAAAACACCTGCAATTTAATGACGATGAAAGCATCAGAAAGGTGACCTCAAATCTGATCACTTTTTTTAAAAAGATGTCTGGCTCAATATCAAAGTTATTACAGTTTGTATAGCTAACAGACTAAACCAAAGGTAAAGACATAAACGTTTCCATAATTTTGCAACACTCTTATTGTGAATTTAACGATTTCGGGGTTTCTTTTATTTATTTTTTTCAAATTTCTATTTAAACTCATAATTAGGCAATAATTAAATTCCCTAATCCGGAAAGGGGGTAAACTTGCATTGCGAAATCCGAAGCTTAACGTGAGATCAAGTGCAGATGCAGCTCAGGCCCACGCCTATAATTAACTAATATAAAAAATTAGTACTGCAGGTAACTCAAGATTGCGAGTATCAGGAGCACTGCGACTGATAACGGTACTTGACAGTTAGGCCGGGGGGGGGCTTAAATACCATCCATTGGACAGTCACGACTCCGTAATGCAACGGCAGAACAAACGCTAACGTTCACCAGCGAGGTAGCTCAAATGCTAGGTTTTGTGCAATCCTAGACCGACAAGTAAAACGACAGATGACAGTATAAAACGAAAGTAGTAGTAGTAGTAGCTGCCTTTAACCTCTGCAAAGCTAACTGGTAACGCTAGCCAAGTTAGCTGGATGAATCACAGGGATAGCTATGATTCGCTAGCCTACAATATTTTGATGGTGGCACTTATCTGCATGTCCGGGGTGACAAACTGTTACTATTATATACATTTAACAAAGTCGGCCATGTAAAACATTTACACGCAAACATAATTTACATTTCTGCAATTCTTACTACCGACCGGTTTTTAAAGAAATTATGTAGAAGTAACACAATTTATCTGGTCTTACCGTCTCCCCCGCCGGGTTGTAAGTCCGCTGTCACAACATAATCCTTCCCGGTGTGTTGGCAAAATGGTACATTCCGACGCAAACGTCCGCCTACCTCACGTTACCGTAATAGCCAAGGAAACGTAAAGCGCATGCCTTAGTACAAGAAAGGCATTGGAGTATGTAAATTAAACGTTTTGCAAGCGTGCAATATTTTAAATTCGTGCTAATATGCAGTTATGAACTACCCGACTTAAAAAAAGAACCCATGAAATGTTTTGAGCAATTCCACCTATGATTGACAGCTGCTTTAATCCAATGAGTCCAACAGAGAACACTGCCGTCCAATCGTGTGTGCCTAGAGGTGGGACGTCGGCATTTCATAACCTCTGACATTTCTGTATAAAACAAGCGCTCCGACCTTCCTCATATAAACAACATTAGCCGGGGCATAAGTAATTGTGATGTATGTGACCCTGACGATTTTTTAAACAGGTAGGCGTCAAACAGAGGTAGCACTGTCTTGTTTTTCACAACATGCTAGAGAAGGTTAATGCTCATCTGCTATCTTCCGGTGGGATCTCCTCCAGCTTGTCAAGCAGGAACGTCGTTAGATTGTCTACTATTCTATGTAATGTTTCAGCCTGTCAGGATATGTTGTTTATCGACGTTGTAGTTCAATGTCTCTAAAACAACCAAACAAATAAAGTATGTTTGCTTCCATGCAGATCCTTTCTTATTATTTAAATCGACTCTCTGTTACCAGACTCTGTTTTGTTTGTTTGTCTGTTTGTTTTTTTTGTTTGGTTGTTTTTTTGGAGGTGCCTGTTTACTTGTTTTCACGACTGTTAAAGATCCAAAAGTTTCAGCAAAATAAAATGTGCTTAGAAGTTTGGGTTTGATATTCTCATTTGAATTTTTACCACAACAATAGCTGTGTATTATGCTGTATTTGATTGTTTTAAATATCTGACAGTGCAGTGTATTGTTAATTTTTGTGACCTGTGTTCAGGCTTAAATCTAACTATCAACTGTCTTTCATATCTTCTCACGGGATACTTTTTAGCCCTTAAATATGAAGAGGCTTTTCCTCGTGGAGCCGGTGGTGGCCCTGTATGCTTTTGCCACTTTCCTCTACTATCCGCTTGTGCAACAGTATGCATACAGGAGAATCTGGCTGCAGGTGACAAACACCACTTACCTGAGCTCTGACAACACTTCCAGATGTGTGGCAAACAGCAACAGCAGCAACCAGTCTCACTATAATGAGGTTAGTCTTTAATCACTAAAGGCGTATTATCCATTCCTGAAATTTGGAGTATCTTATTTTCTTTCTTTTTTCCCACCACACTGAAAACTAAAAACATTTTGAATATAGCAAGGATTGTTTAAGAATGAATGCCATGAAAAAAAATCAATATTTGGTGCAAACATTTACCTTTAAACCAAGACACAGATTCTTTTAGGTCAACAGCTTTTCATGGTATTGGGTGGCACGTTGTTTCAATCATCTAAAAAAAAAAACTGTCTGGAGCTTCTATGTGAGTTTCTTACATATTAATTCCAGACTGACATGTTATGACTATGACTCTGGATTATTTGCACGTTTTTATCAATATGAAGGTAGTTCCTAATGACTCCGTATGTTTATGTTAATTTGCATGACTTGTACACTAATCAGATGCCTCCGATGGTCTTGTGTGAGACATTTTAACTGCTTAAAACTTTCGCACAGTACTCTAGTAATAATAACTAGTACATGTACGTAGGGCTGTGCGATATGACCAAAATCTCATATCCCGATATTAAGACATCTCTCATCTGATAACGATATAAATCACAAAAAATGTAACATTTTGTGTAAATTCTGTGAATCTCGGGCAGCTCGACTTGCGTGAAGTGTTTCCAGCTGGACGTCGCCTACCTGGAGTCGGGTGTTTTAACTGATGCATGAAACTATACATTTTTAGACATAAGTTGTAACTGGCGCTGTTTTCTTTCTGAATATTTATTACACAGCGTGCTGCGGGGAAAAGCCTGTTCTAACGTTTGAGTCTAAGGTTTCTTTTTTAGCACCTGACGGCTCTTTTTTGCTTCTTACCCGTAAACACTCGGCATCTTTCACGTAATTCAGTTTATTTTGAAAAATCTCAACAGGATCTTGAGCTTTATTGTAAAAGGTTTATGTGGAACAAGCGGACACGCGGTGGTTTTACCTTCGTTGTTGCTAAGGACAAGGCAAAAAAAAAACCCCACAAAGGCTTGTCTGTCTGTAGTGTGATTATATTAAATGTAAGAGAAAGAGAGAACTTTAAGAAATTAATATAGCCACTACAGTGACCATCAAAATAATGAAAAAATATTGCCATAAACAGTTTATTACACCACGAAACAAACAATAGCGTAAAATGAAACATAGACATTTTTATATCGCCATCCGATATATATCTTATATCGAACAGCCCTACATGTACGGTATAACAAGTTGCCTACTTAGAACTTGTAATAGCATTACTAGTTCCATGTCTATTTTCAACGTTTTTATTCATACATTTTTCCCATAAACTTTTAACTTCCTCTCTTTCACAGTTTGGGTTACAAAGATTTCTTTAGCGCAATAAGGTGACGTGCAAAGAATTTCTTATGACTACAGGTCTGTGCTCATGCAGATACCCACATACTGTGGTAGCTACACTATAGCTAAAAAGTGATAATCTTACAGAATACAGATATGATGGTACAATCTTTTTATTTGTAGGATGTTTGCAATAAGCAAACAATTTTGTAACAAGGATGTAAAAGAGTATTGTTCTATGAGCCCCAAAAGGTTGATTGTGTTCATCTGGACATAGTCCTTTCAGTGGGAGGATGATTAAGCATGCATCAAGACATTGTTCTATGAGGAACAATGTCATTTTACTTTAACATGCATGTATAGAATGAGAATTACACATAAAAGAGAAGTGAAAACCACAACAGGACAAAACTTGTGTTATCTGTAAATGGCCACAACAGCACCTGTGGTATTATAAAAAGCTTTTTTTTCCCCCCACCTCCCCTTTTAGTCCTGAACATTAAAGTTCTTATGAAATGTCTGAAAATAATTAGTTTTTACATTTTTTTTTTTAATTCTTCCACTGTTTAAGGTATGATCAAGATATTTTGATCTGGCTCCAAAAAAAAAATCTTCTCCTTCAACATCCTCTATTTGTGCACCCCTGCACTGCTTCCAGGACTCCTGTTAACATTAAATTTAGGTTCAAGAGTTGCTGTTGAGGAGAGCTGAGGACATCTAGCATTCTCATAAATGCAAGCTGACAGAATTTAAAGGGCTTTACAATTAACCACATTTTCTCTCTCTCTCTTTTTTTGCTTTTGCAGGAGGTACAGAGGCAGACATCTCTCTTCTCCGTTTACACAAACATCCTATCCACAGTCCCATCTTTGGTGGTCACTCTCATACTGGTGACCTACAGTGATCAAGGAGGACGCAAGATAGCCATCATCATGCCTATGATTGGCACATTGATCTACACATTGTCTTTGCTGACTGTGTCCTACTTTGAACTCAGCATTTACTTGCTCTTTGGCTCCTCAATTCTTAGTGCTCTGTGTGGTGGTATGGGCACATTTCTGGGTGGCTGTTTTGCCTACATAGCAGACTTGTGCGAGGATGATCGTCAGAAGACATATCGCATGGCTGGATTGGAAATGATGATTGGCCTGTTGTCTGGACTGGCTGCATTATCGTCAGGCTACTTTCTGAGAACTGTGGGATTCAACTGGCCTTTCCTAACCTCTTCACTGATGCTCGTTTTGATCCTGCTCTATGCCATCTTTGTCCTTGAGGAGACTGTGAAGAAGGCTCCAACTAGTGCCGTTACTTTAGATGGATCTCCTTGGTATTTAGGCATGAAACAGATGCTCCGTGGGGTCTGCCAGATGCTTGCAGGGGCCAGCTGCAGGTGGAAAACTGTTCTGGCCCTTCTCATTATTATCTTCACTTGCGTTTCCTTTGTATATGTAGGAGGGATGTCCGTGATAACACTGTACGAGCTCAGTGAGCCGCTGTGCTGGACTGAGATTTTGATTGGCTACGGCTCAGCTCTGACCACCACTGTGTTCCTGACCAGCTTTGCAGGAGTGTCCCTGTTTACATACTGTGGTGTGCCCCAGGTGCTCATTGTCCTGTTGGGGATCCTGTCTGTTGTATCAGCCATGCTCACTGCGGCATTTGCTAAAACAACCTTGTTGATGTTTATAGGTGAGGAGGAAAATGCAACTATTGGAATGTACAGTAGTTTTGACTCGTACATAAAATGAAGAGATAATACTTTTTAACCCATGTTTGTTTAAATAAAAAAAATAATTATATAATTATTTTTATTTATTTATTTTTTAACAAGGTGTGCCATGAACTAAGTCCATAGTTTAGTTGTATCTGTTTTTAACACCCTGAATTAGGAAATTGCTTATATATAGTTTCTGACACAAATTTAGTTTTTAGTGTTTTGCATTGATCTATTGTAGAATTTGTCTTAATATGCGGTATGAAAAGAGGAAAAATGCATCAACCAAAGCCCGTTTCAGTGTTCATTGTGGGCACGATATTAAATGGTTGGGTGTAAAAACGCAGAATGTGTCATATTAAAAAGCATAAGGACAATTTTAGCTGCAGGAAGTAGAAATGCCTTGTGTGCTCTTTTTTATTATTATTTTTTTATTTTTTTGCAGAAAAAGCACATAAGGCATTATAAACAGAGAAATGGCACCCCCAAAATACATTGCATGCTAGTGACTTGGATTACTAATTGACAGAATAGGACTTTTTATGGTGGCTTTAAGGTGCACAACTACTACTAGAGACTCCTAATTTTTTTAGTGCATTGTAAACTTATAAACGGTGTAATTATGTTATCGCTCATTTGCTTACTTTAATTATCTTATTGCAACAATCTACGTAATTGAAAACACACATCTGTTACATTTATAGATGCAACATACTTTTTTCATAAGTAACTAAACAATTTTGCAAATATTAATTTCCTCATGTATAGTTTTATGCAGTTACATTAAAACTACAGTGTGATGCATTATATAATGCTGATCTTCTGTTTTTCATTTGCCACAGTGAGGATACCAATGCTACTGTCTATCATGCCTTTCCCTGTACTGCGCTCCATGATGTCAAAGATTGTCCCAAAGTCTGAGCAGGGTGAGTGACTTTTCAGAGCTTTACATGAACCACAGAACCATGTCTGAGTGTGTTTGTAGAGCCAGAGTCCATTGAAGGATTGCCTGTTCCAGCAGCTTTGGCTCTCCAAGTTTCTGTTGAATTTAGCAGAGGGTTATCTTAAAACTATACACCAGAAGTTCTTAGTAACCCTATGACCTGCAGATTTATTTATTTTTTTCTGTTTTTCTGATTTTTTTTTCTCTATTGCAGGAGCCCTGTTTGCCTGTCTTTCCTTTATGGAAAGTTTGTCCAATAATGTATCGTCCATAGTGTTCTACAGTATTTATGCTGCTACGGTAGCGTGGTGCCCAGCCTTCGTCTTTCTGTTATCTGCAGGACTCTGTGTGATTCCTTTGACTGCCTTGGGGTAAGTCAATAAGTAGGCCAATGGATTTCCCACAACTTTAAAATAGCCAGGCCAGCATTTTTGCATCTTTTACTGCAAATTGCAATCTTACTAATAATTTGGGAAAACTGTCCTACTTTTCAGCCAGTTAGCCTTACTCAAGCCCATTCATCTGATCCACTTCAAACTGTAGTTATAGATAGATAGATAGATAGATAGATAGATAGATAGATAGATAGATAGATAGATAGATAGATAGATAGATAGATAAAACTTTATTAATCGCTCGGGTGGGTTCCTCCAGGAAATTCGGTTTCTAATAGCGCAGCACTGACAGAAGTTACAGAATGTGAGCAGAAATATACCATATATACACAGATAGAATTACAGAGACATATATAAATACAGAATATACAAAGGGATAAATAAGAATACAAGGGAATTGCACATTGTGCCGATGGTGAAGAAAATTAGTGCAATGTCCAATTTGAGACATTGCAGATAAGCAGTTGTCATTTTAGTTCAAAGTTGTTCAGTCACCAGTGTTTAACCTTGAGGAGAAGGGCTGCACGCACAGGCATGTTGTTTGGGCTTTGTGATGACAATCATTGACAGTACAACACGCCTCAGACTCCTAAGTTTATCCATTGCAACTAAAATTACCCAACTGTAATTTTAGTCGGGAGGGAATAAAGGTCTCCAGCTATAAAAGTATAACCTTAGTCATTGTGCCTTTCATAACCGTTTTATTTTTGAAACAGAAACTTACTTAATGGCTGTGATGCAATTAGCTGTAGAATTGTAGCTATAAAAGTAACCAGGGTTACGCTCTCTGAGCTGGTAGTTATAATTGATGTGTAGAGTAATACATTTCCAAACTAATTTCCTGCTGTACCTCCCAGACATTATTAGTTTCCATTCATTTTACTATGTCATAAATATCAGTCACATGACATAGTTTAAGGTTACTCACCTCAGGTCTTGCTACTTTTGTTCATGTTACCGTGTATTTTTAATGCATTGCTCACAGAAGCCATTATCTACCACCAAAACTCACTGTCCTGTATGTTGTTTGTCCTGGATTATGTTAATGTTCAGTTTGACTGAAGGCATGTGAGTTTTTTTTTTTGGTGATCTGTGATCAGATTTCTAGTGAGATCAGACTTCACAACTCTGCACTGTGTGGATGGAGTTGCAAGTTACAAGCTGCCAAGTCACTGTTTATCAGTTATTTAGAAAAGGGAAGTGGTTCTGCTTAAGCAGGAAGAATTAGTTCCTCATTCGTTATCCAACTCCTTTTACAAAAGAAGTCCTCCCTTATAACTCATGACATGCATAGTATCCCTTCGATTTGATTTTTGGGCTGTTACAGCCTTGGCTTTGCTTTTAATTCAACTGAAGTTTAGTTGAATTTCTTTCCTGTTGAACTTTATTGCACTGGGGTGTAGTGAAAAACTCCTTCAGTGAATAAAGCTGTTGTCACATTTCCTTCCTATTACTTAGCGGCTATTCATAGAATAACAAAAGCACTGGTTTAGCAATTTTGTCTAACAACAGAACAACTAATTGAATTCAACAAGAGACTATATTTTTCCTTTTGAGTGCATAGAGTGGTAGCATTTTCAAGCCACGTCAGCACTGAAATGAAACTGATGTGGTTTGGTTGTTGTTGTGCTTATTTGCTAAAAAGAAGCCGATGAGTCTTGTATGTAGCAGATGGTACAAAATGGGATTTTTTTTCCCCCCCTTAAATATACATATCCACCACGTTGGTAGTTGTAGAAAGTGTATGGATGTAATCTTAAGAAGGGCTACTAGAGATGTAATGGAAGAAACGGACACAGAAACAGTTGGCCAGTTTATGTTGAGCTTTAGCAGACATGTATCTCCCTTTTCTATTTTGCTCTTATATCATCCCCCTTTTCTCCGCCTCATTTCAGCATGGTGAGCGTGATAGGAGTGGATGTTGCCACAGAGGTCCAAAGGCCAAAGCGTTTCAATTCAGAGGAGGAGAATCCTGTCCAAGATCAGAGTGACCACAGCCCTCTTCTTACCTGAGACGCCAGGACTACCAAACACTAACAGCACCTTGCTTGTTAAGATTTGTTTTGTTTTTTTTTTGTTTTTTTGTGTGTGTGTGTGATTTATTTTATGTGGTGTTTAATATAGGTTACATTTTCTTCCTTTGTTGCTGTGCTTATTGGAGTTATGGGTAAACAGATTTCTCTACCTCTCAGGTTTAACAACCCCAGTTAAAATTGATAGAAATCTCGAAGGTCTGAAGGTAGAAGTCTGACCATGACAATGACATTTTCAAAAACATTTTGAATGGATACATTTTAAATGTATATTATTTCTTTTTTTTTAATGTAGCAAATAAAATTTGACCTTGACATCACATTTTTGCTCAGGGAAAAGGTAAAAGACCAAGCCACAAATGGTAAAGGGGACTAAGAGTTATGGTAATCATTTCAAAGTATGAGGACTAAAGTTCTTTCTGGAAACAACCCACCACTCTGTATTATGACCAAACCGAAGACCTTGTGGACTGAATTGGTCACTTATTAGGTCTCTGCTTGCCTCGGGGTACGACCAGGTTGAAAAGCTCAGTTTTCCATACTATCAATTAAAACCTTTCCAATTATCTGGAGAATATCAACAAACTAAATAAAGGAAAGTGTTGTGGGATTTTCTTTCACACTTTGGTTTTTGAGAAAAACAGAAGAAGAAAGCACCAGCACAATTATGCCACTACATACCTGAAGTTTGTAAGATTCAACCTCTGTTCAGGTTTTGTTGTAGCTAAGTTACTACATTTTGGGTGTAATAGTCTTAATTATTGTGTCAACACAATATTCGCAACAGTCTAATAAAAATAAAAAATGTTTACCACTGTGGGCCAAGCTTCTGTATTTTAATACAGACTGAAAATTCACAACTAAATATCAGCACGACATCATTATCTTCTTAAAACTGTATCAAACAAGGTGATGTTTAATAAATATGTAGGATTTTTTTTCTGATGGAGATGAAATGCTAAGAACATTTTTAAATGCAATACTGTTTTCTATACCCAGTGACCTTCATAACAAACATAAAAAAATCGTTTCTAATTTTCTAGCTAAATCCCAGCACAATGTGATTCTGCAGAAAAAAAAAATCATTTCATTCATTCAACATTCCTGTCACTTTTTTTGGGGGGGGGAGAGGTTACTTTTACACATCCTTTATTTATCCAGGTAAAAAGTGTCATTGACATTAAAAATGTCTTTTTCAAGAGAGATCTGTAATATATAACATCACAGTTTTAAAAATATATTGTATATATTGGCCAAAAAGGACCGGATTAATTATAATGTAGGTAAAATAACACAGAGTACTTGTAAAACAGGCCATTTCTGTATTTTATAGCTCCTCCATAATTCGTATTGACTACAGTCTATTTACCAATCTAAATCAAGATATTAGACACTTAAAAACCATAGAAGCATTACTAATTGCTTTGGCAGTTCATCACTTTTTCCTGCTTACTGAATGTCTGTAAATTATATGATAGCCAATATGTACACCACTATTGCAAGTGTACTGTTTTCTAACATAGTCCCATTTAGGTCACCTGATGTTAGGTTTTTTCTATATGAAATTAGTACATGGAAAAAAAAAACTCATCAGAGAGCTTCAGACAGCCAGCCGGCCTCACAGGTGAACTGAATTGGGACTTTAATTTCCAGAAACTCTGGCTGGCCAATCAACCTGCCTGGTTCACGTTTACTTTTACTGTCAGGCAGGAGGCCCACTGGCAGTGTCCATTTTCCAACGTCCTAAAAAAGGTAAGGCCGCACTTGGTAAAATTCTGGTCGTGTTTTATTCAATCGGTGTGGTACTTCACCATAGATTTATCACATATTAAACCTCATGATACCTAACGCCACGGATTTACCACCATTCTCTGTGCTTCGGTGCCATATTTACTAGAAATTAGACAAGGTGAGTTTCCGCGTGCTTTAGTTACTCCATGTTTAATTCATATCGTTGACCTCAGGGTAAGGTCAAAAGCTCTAATTCAAAAGCAGAATCTATCAAGTATACCAAAAGTAACCTGAATTTTGTAGCACTTGGCTTGACGGTCTTTAGATAAAGTAAGCCAGACAAATCACTCCGCTCACAGCTAAATATCTGCAAGTACACTGACGTCAGCTGCTATGATGTCCCCGTGACAATAGCGTGTGAATGAGTGTTTAAGTTTTTTTTTGTCATATTGGAAAATCTATCCAAGGCTAGAACTCCCGACCTTTTATTGATGGTGTTAACAATATTAGTTTGACCTTTATTCTTTTCTTCAGTCCGAGCAAACGGAACAACTTCTATTGACTTTATTGATCGTTGACTTCGTCCAAAAAGCCTGTTTAGCGTACAAGTCTGAGTATGTTCATACTGAGATGAGGGGAAATGAGCGTTGTACTCCAGAGAAGGGCCATCTTAAACTGAGTCACTTATCGGGGCAGCAGACTATACACCCAATGCGCTCCCAGGCTGGTGCCTACCTGCTCACTATTGCCACTCCTGAGAGTTCTCTCAGTTCATGAAATTTAGTCAATGTGTCACATACTTGATGAACTGATATGAAGCAGCTGCCTCAAATGCTGTTTCATTTCCTAATTCATGCATTTTCTTTCAAAGTGCCCTCTGTATGTCCTCCTTCACAACCTCTATTGTTTTCATATTTACTGTTAAACTGGTCTCCTTCTCATTCGTTCACGCACATTCTGACTTGGTTTGAGAGACATTGATTCCTCTTCTCTCCAGAGCATAGTTCCACCTCTGCAGGCTCTCATCTAGCTGCTCCCCCACTCTCACTATAAATGTCCAAACATGTGAAGACTGAACCTCAACTGCAAAGCACCCGAAGCAAATTTATGTCCATAATTAAACTGCCTCATCTGCACTTACTGTGTGAGTTTTATCCCTTCAGGTTATAGTGGAATGATTAGATTTAAAAATCAAGTGGATCTCACTAATTAAAATCACTCTCTCCTCCCATCCTGGTCTTTTTGAGATAAATGTCATGATCTACTGGTATGTATTATTATTTCTCTGTAGACTGGATTGAAGTAGAAGCTCTGCCCTTTATTTTCTTGTTGCCATGGTGAATCCTCGTATTGGAGCTCCACTGATGACTACTTTGTTTCATTACTCATGCACACTCTGAGCACAAACTAAACATACTCAGGGCAGACTGAAGAAACTCAGATTTTCTGGAAAATGAGTTTCTCATGTTGGATTGAAGTTTGACTCAGGTTCTTAAACCTGTGTTCTGGATCTACTTTATTTACTTATTTTGTGCTTCCCTCTGTCTGATTGAACACCTGTGAAATCAACGAATGAAGCGATTTAGAGCTTTCTTCCTCTTTCACAAACTATTAGTGTCATTTTTGGGATGATCACTAGCCCAAATGTCATGTTGGAAAACTGGCTTTCTTTATGTGTAAATGCAAACTCCTACTAGGAGGGGAAAAAAAACTCGTATAAATCTGTCTTGTTTTACAGAAGGAAAAAATAGTTGTCTGTCTTTTCCTCAGTAATATCTTTCATTGCTTTTAATATTGCAGATAATACATAGTACAAATTGTTAATGTTTGACCTTGTTTAGTTTTATATCCCGCTTGTATTTCATGAAGGACTAGTTTGAGGTTGTGTTATACATACGATTGAATTTTTGCACATTCCAGTCCTCTTAGTCTCTAAAGTCTGGTTGTTTAACATCAAACCAGTCAGTTCTGGGGATTAGCTGGTGGCAACTGCACACTGGGGTACTCCTCCAAGAACACAATGTTAAGGCTGCTTTGTTTGCATTCACGCTGCTTATAGGAAGCCAGCATTGGGTAAGTTCACAACCTTTTGTTGTGAACTTTTACTTTCTTGTGGTGCTGTTTCAGCTTCTTCAGTTTCCCTGATATGGCACTGGTGCATGGTGTGTGTGGTGTATGCCTTGTCACAAGTTGAGGGGAAAAGCTGAGTCAAAACGGCATTCTATGATTAGGGGAAAAATGTATTTAACTGTTTTAGTTCTGTGTTTTGTACTGAAAAAGTCAAGAACTGTTTTTACACTCTGTGTGTGTGTGTGGGGCAAGATAAGCAGTCATGTTGTGCTTATCTTGCTAAGTACCTTTTTTTTTTTTTTAAACAGAGCAATAATTTTAAGATTTCTATATTTAATCAGTATTTTTCTACCATGTTGGTATATTACTCCAGGCTCTCTGGTTAGATATTATACCAGTGAGTCTGTGACAGTCTTTTTGATATAATCTCCAAATATCGCACAAACCTGAATGCTGGCTATATACACTAAAGTAGCACAGTTGGAGTGGAATACCACAGAATGTTTGATACAGTATACAATTGATCCGTAATGTAATGCAGTTTTCTTGAATAAATAAAATACAAACTCAATCAAACAAATATTGCCCATGCAGACAGTTTCTTATACATTGAATCAGAACTGTAGTTTTTAGTGGAGTAGAGTAACTGTTGTGGGGGGTTTCTTTTTTGTTTTCTTTTTTTTGTTTTTTTTAAATCCTATGTCTTGTACAGTTGCAACACTATAAAATCACTGACCAACTGGTTTCACCTGTTTTAGATTGCTTTCTTTTCTTAAACTATAGTACAAGAATGGCCATGCCTTCTTCAGGCATGTGGAGTGATCAAGTTTTAGTTGTCACTTGAGTTCAAATCTAATCATTGTCCTTGTTTCTTGTTCAGGACATTTTCCAGCCCTCCTCAGAATGAAGCGTCTCTTGCTTCTGGAGCCTGTGATGGCCCTGTGCACTTTTTCCTATTTTCTCAATGCTCCACTTATGCAGCAGTATGTTTACCGGAGACTCTGGGCGCAGATGACAAACACCACCTATCCCATCTCTGACACATCCAGATGTACAACAAGCAACAGCTCAAGCAGTTATGAGGTTTGTCATTAATCTCTGGCTCCAAGGTAGGATTCATGGGTACCAAAAATGGAAGGACCTACTATAAAATGAGGGCATGCACAGTTACAGCCATCAGTTAAGTGGCGTAAAACACAAATCAGCATTAGCTGCATTTGCATTATACTTTTCTTAAAACTGTTGCACTGAATACTGTCATTGATACTGTAGCAGGAAAATTCATATTTAATGCTCATTTCAGATAAGATCTAGCATTACTTAGAAATTTACAAGTGCATGTGAAAGTTTCTTCAACTGAATTTGCTTTTGGCTTTAATTTAATGTTGTTTTTTTTGCATGAACGATTTAGGAATTACAACCATTTCTATACAGAGTCCTCCATTTCAGAGACTTTGAAATAACTGAACAATAACAATTTTAAATAAGGATTATTCCTAATACTTCTCTGAGAATAATATGATGAATGACAGAACTGTAGAGCACAGAGTGCCAAATACAGTTTCTTCTCACGTTGGGATGCTCTTCTAGCCCCTTACTGCAGCCACCTTCAATTGTTGCTTGTTTTTGGGTCTCTGACCTCAGGGATCAGGTGACTGAAGAATATCTCAAGACAGTATTTCTTGGTATTAAGAAACTCTTGGGTTGCTTTTGCAGTATGCTTTATCCATATGGATGGCTTTGAAACACTTGGAATCAACTGCAGGGAGCATCCCTTCGAATACTGGCTGTGAAGCTGCTTTTCAGTCAGCTTCTGACCCTCTGTTAATGGGGCAATATATAAAAATGGCTGTAATTTCAAAACAGTTGAATTTTGTATTGTTATTAAATTAAGTTCTAAGATGATTTGAATCTTAAAAGTTGGACTTACCAATCTTTGTGTTTTATTTTTAAAATCCACTCTGGGGTTATACAGAGGAAAAACTTGAAAAATGTCTGTGTCCAAAAACACAGTTACC